CATGACAAGGCAGTGATCCATGAAGGGGTATGACATCACTAGAAAGGTTATAACATCACTAGTCTGCCATCTCATGATAAGTCTCACGTTTCCTGGAATGTCTGAGCATTGAAAAACTAAATCCAAAAGGATTCATTACCCCTTTGATACTGGTGTAATCCGCCTTGGCTTCATCTGCAACGGCACCATCATGCTTCTTGTGAGGCTTTTCCAGTGCTGGTTTTGAGTGTGTTTGATGGTCCTCTTGATGCTGCTTCAGTTCAGGTTCCTGAAAACTGACACAGTCCAGGCCAGCGCTGCTCACAGGGTGAATGGCTGTTAATATCAAAGAAGAGACCGAACTAAACAGTCACCTCAAATAGAGTACAGTGTCGCGGTTTCTACTGGAAGATAGTGACAGAGCCACGCAAGGAGCCAAACAATGCCCTTCCAAAAGGATTTTGCCAAGAAAGTAGACCCCAAAATAAAGCTTCCTTTATAGAGTTTTGGTTTTGGCTCTTGTTCCTAGGAATTATTTTAAATCTGTACTGTGCTGTTCTAACTTATTCTCTAACCTTTATTTCCAATTCTATAGTCTATCCACTTAATTTTACACTTTATAGTTCTCAATTTTGTACACAGTATACTCTAATTATTTTCTATCATCAATAAGCATCAGTCAATTGAATATCTTACCCTATTCTCCTTTTCCTCCCTTCTGAGACCTTCAATGGCCTCTAGCTCTTCCCAGTACATCCATAACCCAGTCCACTGCGTGATCTGTGTAGGCTGGGGATTCGCAGGAGGTTGGTGTCTTTGCTGACTTCTTCCCTCCTTGTTGGAGGATTATTGGAAGTGAGAATAATCTCCATGGTTCTATATATTTTGAAACCATCTTCTCTGTCTCCTAGAGCAGGGAGCATGGACTTCTGCCTCATTCTCCATTCCATTAAAAGAGAAGAGAAGGTTCTCTTCCAATGGGCTGCAAAATATTTTCAGAATTGCCATTTGAGATCCTGGACACTTTGCTAAATATAATTTAGCACAGATAATATTTTCCCCTTCCCTGGTTAAAATCCTTCAAAGAACACTTTGGTAGATTCAATAGCATTTTGTGAATATGGAAAAGGAGTGACACGGCTCACAAATTGCTTACAATAGTAGCATTACCATTAACCGGTTAATTAACTGTTCTCTTGTGGGGACCTCTTCTTCCAGCCAGGTTCTCCACAAGTAACATACTACATGTTTCTTCCTGCAAATCTTCACCACATGCCTTTAAGTTCTGCTCTAGATTTTGGAGCTGTCTGAATGCTTATCTCAATTAATATTGTCTAATAGCAATACCAGGAACTTCCCGAGACTCATCTTGGTTATTGACACCTACAGTAAGACCCGAAGCTCAGTAACAATGCTTGTTAAGCAGAACTCTTGGTGACTGTCAGCGTAAGCTAACATTAACCTTCAACATTCTTGTTTTATATGCAGGGCTCTGTTACCTTGTGATTTGATGGATGGCCCACAGGTATACCTTCTGCTGTCTACTTTGTACTTTTATATCTCCATAACATGTGTTACCTAATGATTATAATCTGAGTTTCAGAATATTAGTCTCTAAGAACATTAGATTCAAAGTTCAGAATACTCTCTGCTCTATTTACATAAGTGCTATTATCAGTCAAGGTAACTTTCAAATAAAAGATCTTCAAGACAATCTTAAATGCTAGAACAGAAATGGCAAGGTGACTTGGATGGGAATTCCAAAATAAAACCATGGGCAAGAGACTTCGATCTTAACGGTAGGCATTCAAGAAAGACTTCCACTCTTTTTATCATTGTGAGCAGGTGTTTTTGAGAAACAAAATGTACGCACATTTACTTTTTGCTACTTTTATCATTTGCACTTACGGAAACTTTTACAATTAAATTATGTATATAAAAAATCAGAACTAAGAATAATCCACTCATTTGTATTTATTTTCAAATCACCTTCTTTGTCTCCTATAGCAGGGAACATTACCTTTTGCCCCATTCTCCATTCTATTGAAACAGAACAAAGGCTCCAACTTGCGTTTGAGATTCTGGACACTTTGGTAAAATATCATTTTGCACAGCGTGGCTTAAGGAGACTGCAAATGCATCCCTAAGTAACGAAACACACTATTTTGGGTCCTGTTTTTATTTTTTGGCATTAATCTTTTTTTTCTTTTTCATTAGGAATTGTAGATTAAAAATATTAAAAGAATTACATTGACAACCCTGGATTTCTATCATTTTGTGTAGCTGATATTTTTAATTTTAGGTGCCACATGCATTCTGTTCCATTCATTATTCAGAGTGAATGTTCAGCTCCTGGAAGGATTGTGAAGACCTACAAGAGGCCGCTTCACTAATCTCCATTATAGTTTGGGGGTGGTGGATAGCAACAGCTCCTGCACTTGTTATTAATGCGTATATCTGGGATTCCAGGCCATAAGAGAGGCATCAAGATAATTAACTTCAAGCCTATCTTCTTCTCAGCTCCAGTGGTAACACCATCCGTATCACATTTCCTCATCTTATGATACTTCACAGAGAACAGTGATCACAACAGAGATGTAAGAGTGAGTTGGTGATCTCCGTACATTATAAGAACTGCCACAGAAGCAGGTGGAGCACAAGAGGTTTGATAGTTCTCCATATCAGGGCATTGGTTTCTGTTCAAAACACAGGAAGTTGCTCCCTTGCTTAGTTTCAGGGGATTCATTTGGCTCCTTCTCCTGATCATCTTCTCATTGACAATGAGAAGCAAGATACATCATTCTCATGAAAAAAGAACAGGCAAAATCACTCTTATCAAGCAAAGAGGTAATTTAGTTTGCTTCACTTGCCCACGCCGTGCAGTCACCAACAGGAGACTGGTCACAGAGCGATTGTTTCTCTGTTGCATTCCAGCAGAGTCTTTCCAGGGCACTTGGGTCTACACAATTCCAGTAATCAGGATCCCCTGCCTCTTTCGGAAAGTTGTGTAATGTTAGATTCCAACTGGGATGAAGGCAATTTGGAAAGAACTGTAGGCTCATATTTCCTTATAGTATAGCTTATTCAAGCCAGATTTATACTCAAGGGTTACTAGGCAAGGCAGCTTGACTAGTAAAGTTGGATCATTTGATACCTTCTTGTCCATCTTCTGGGGACTAAGAAAAGGAATTTTCTGGTATTTTGACTAAAGAGACATAAACAGAGCCAGCTGTATCTTTTTCAATTATTTTCCTAAAACCAGCCAGCCAAACTGAAAGCTATCCCAATTCAGGCAAAGAAATTTCATTCTCTGCTAAAGGGCATTATCAAGCTGTTCAATATTTCTAATACTAAGAAAAGGAATTTCTTAGAGATGACCCCATTGCTGTACTTGTTACATTTCTTGGATGTGCCTAAGGAGGGCAGGCATTCACCACGGGGAAGGGAGCACCTAGGTAGCATGTTTGCTCAAAAAGTGCCAGAAAGGCTTAAGCACGTCTGAAAAAGCATCTATCAATTCAACAGATAAGCAGGATGTTTGACCAAACTTTTGATGGATGGTCTGTGTTTTTTGCTTGGGCTTTAGCCTGAGTTGTCTGGATCAGGCACTGGTATTAGATAGGCAGTCTATGTTCAACTTATCTGCCAACTCTGGTGTCTTTACTACTCCAGCCACAAACCAATCTACCACTAAAATTGCATTCCAAATGTAGACATGCAAGTTCGACCTTGCTTTTAATAAATCCTTGACATTATGTGAATCCTGCATTTATGCAGAATTTCTACTTTAAATAGGATTTTCATGGTGGAATACTGTATGGATTTTATAGGCCCCATTCCATAAATGCTGCCCTTGTTCCTGAGATAACCTCCCAACTATCCTGAATGAAAAGTGAGATATAAATTTAAGTGAGATAGTCATCCCAATTTAATCTACTCCTTATGTTTTACTTAACCCAAGGTTGGTATCGTGCCCAGGATTTGTTTCCATGTTTTGTCAGAAAAGGGAAACTTTCTTGGAATTGAAGAAAGATGCAACAACACTGCCTATGTAATCACCTTATTTCACTTTCAGGTTTGCTAACTCACTTGTAATAAAATAGCCTCTCCTCTTCCCCCCCGCCACCGCCCTCAAAAGTTTAAACTAATTTAGAAATATATCCACCTTAGGGAAATTTGTACCATGCATCAAATCACCCACCTCTTGAGTTAGAGATGTGGCAGTAATATATGTTTCAATTATCACTGAGAAAGAGGGAAAGATGTGTAAACGTTACCGACTTCAATCCCCTGGAACTATGGAAAAGCCAAGCAAATAAAATTTCTTGGTTTTGCACATGAAGAAGAGAGGTTCAAATCAATGGAGACAGCTGGGTTTCCAAGTTGCATTAGTTTTGCAAACTGGCCACCAATTAAGGTAAACTCTACCTATCCCTTGACTCAAGATTTTCTGAGGTTTAGGAGAATTAAGAAAAACTATTAAGTTAGGAGTAGGCAATTGTATTAATTTGGCTTCCAAGGGCTTTTATGAGTGTCAGTAATGAGGGCAGTTGAGCCTTCTTTGGGTGTTTGAGATGGTTTTAAAAGTGAAACACTTATCAAAAAGAAAACATCCAGCCCCCTTGTGGGAGATGGACTAATGGGTAAAATGGGTGCTTTTAAGCCTCTGCAAACCTTAACAGTTTATTTTGACCCTTAAAGTCATGCCCAAAGAACAGGGCAAAATCTTTAGCCCTACTGGGAGGTTGGATTCTTCAAACAGGAAGCAGGATGTGCACTGTTGAAATCTATTTCCTCAAATCTCTTTTCCTTTTTTCTTGAGCGTCAAAGTGCTTCCATTTGCAAGAGTAGGTACTTTTATGATGAGTCAACTCTTCTATGAAGTGCCTGGATAGGGCTACACTCTAACAGCAACAAATATGAATTATTATCCTTTATTTCAGCAGCGAAATAGCTTTAGCTTTGCAATTTGAGGAAAGGAGTAAAAAATTATGTGGAAAAACTAGAACAAACACACAATCTTTAAAAATATTTAATACTCTGATATCTTAGTATACATTTAAAGCAAATTATTCTGAATTCTAGCATACTGTACCACAGACCAATTAGCAAATAAAAATACAGAAGTGCTTTACAAAATACAATCTATTTATATAAAATGGTATAGATTAAAAAAAATTCTAAAAAGCAGTAGTTGTGATACACTTTACTCAACAGCAGCGGTCTTATCTGTGCAGCATTTTTTTCTAAAGCAAGTCACAGCAATTGTTGGTATCATGGTAAACCATTATGATAAAGTGAATAGCAACTCTGGAAAAGGAAAAATCAGGAGTCGTCTTATAGTACCTTTTTATATTAACAGACTTTATTAAAACATATGCTTTTGTGGGCTACAGCTCGCTTCATGAGAAGCGTGGAGTGAGCTGTAGTTCATGAAAGCTAATGGTTTTTAATAAAATCTGTTAATCTGAAAGGTGCTACTTGGTTCCTCCTGATTTTTGGCTATCATAGACTAACACAGCTCTCTTCCTACAGTGGAATAGGAAAGTAACTGAGAACACTGTTGATACACAAATTGTATAATATAATGTTTAAATGATATGTACAAAACTGTTATCACAGAGTTACAGACATTTTTGAAATACATTAATTTTCAAAAGATACTGGTTGTTGTTATTGTTTTTGAATTGTGTGAGCGGCCAACATTTATCTGAAAGCACAAATGAAATCAAGATTTCATGAATAAGGACAGGAGCCAGAGACAGGTGCAAGAGCTCAGTAAACATATAATTTTTTGAGAAGCCTCCTCTCTTGAAAGCCTCTTGTGTCTTTTAAAAAGTTGCACCTGAACGTTTTTAAAGCAGTCTCCAATCCAGCCCGAAAGGCTGTATTCAGAAATATGGTTTTAAGAAACTTCCATGAATATGTGGAAATATTTCTGCCAAAAAGCAGAATCTGCTTGAATTTCCATTTAAGCAGTGCCAAAGTGAAATTAATAAAATGAAAAAAAAAATTGGACAAAGCTTGATTTTTGACAGCACAATCCTATCCATGCTCTCTTAGAAATAAATCTCACTAAGCTCAAAAGGATTTACTTCGTGCAAGTGTCTATATGACTGCAACAATGGAAATTCAAAATGGAGTAAGTTTCAAAACTCTTAAAATACTTCAAATATTTGTTAAGTATCTGAAACTCCTTATATCAGGAAACTAGAATATTTCAATTCTACTAGATCAAACAAAAAAAATCACTTGAAAAAAATAACATTATGGAAGATCTTTTCCTTGCATTGCACAAAATTCCCTGAGTTTTTTTTTTTTATATGGAACATGAAATCCTTGATCAGATGGATGAAGTTTGATAATAATCAGACTGCTGCATATGTTTATCCTGATGCCTAGTGTTGCTTTAAACCTGATGCTACTATAATTTGGTTAACATGGGAATCCCATCACCAAGCCATTTACCACAATATTCTACAAAACCAAAATGTAATTTATGTACAATACATTTTAGATCAATGTACAAATGTGCAATGTATTGACCAAAGCCATTAAAAATATACACAAACTGTCTCTTAAAATGCTAATTAGTTGAAAATTTTCAGCCATTGAAGGCTAACAGACTTTAACAAAATATAACTATTTACAATTTCAACCTCCTTGCCCTTAGTTGCTTAGTATAATTCCCTACTCTTTAAAATAAAATTAAGGTTTTACCTGAGCAAATTAGATACTGGGATGCCTCCTCTCATGCAGGAGCTTCCTGTCACCTCCCACCAATATTACTACTGTTTGTACATGGATTCTTCAAAACACATGGGACCTATAACCCTACTAGCAAGCCAGACTGAGGAAGCTGGCTCATTTGGAAGGGGAGCTTCGCACAGATGCCAGACCTACTCAGTCCACTTTGATGCATATGCCAGTGCTCACAGCGGCACAAAACAATTTTAAACTGGCACTCACAGGCTGGGGACATCTGCATTTTGAGGTACCTATTTAATCCTATACAAGATTCACATTGCTGCACCTTCTTCTATGCTTGAGGTAGGTAGGTAAGTAAACTGACTAGAGGCTTATAGAACACGGCCACCTACCCTACATTTTGCCAAACATTAAAATGCATTTCAAGTTTTAATTTGGCTTCTATAGCAAAGAACTGCTTCTTTGACCAAACTTACTCATTTGATATTAGGAATTTAACTGAACTCAAATTTGCTTAAAAGAACCCTTACGTCTCAGAAGCAAGGCTTGGCGGTCAAACTATGGAACAAGGTAGAATATCCAATTCACTTGCTTTCCTCCGAATTACTATGGTCAACCCTTAAGTCACCATATAGTTTGAAGACACAAGAGTGCCAGAAAGAGCTTACTATTTCGCAAAATGAAGTTGTGCCACTGATACTGACAAGCATGGATCTGCAGTGACTAACACTTATTTCACAATCTAGGCAGTGTAATGGCAACCAAGCCCTATTCCATGGTTGAAGTCACATACAGCCAAATGACGCAATATCCCAAGAGAAGATGGGCCATGTTTGTCCTGGTAACCTCAGAGGCATATTTCTGCTTTTAGGTGGATGAGCCATCCTATAAAAGTTAAGGAAATGACAAGACTAACAAAGATGAAGCTGCTACAACATGGTTTCAACCTTTGCACCTTTAGGACACAACTAGAGCTTTACAAATCTATAAGCCCAAAAGGTAGGAAAATAGACTGCTATATGCTTATTTAAAAAGGCAATTTTAACAGGTTTTCTTTAAAAAATACTTGTTCCCTTTTTTTTTCAAAATATATACAGTACATCATATTGCCTCAACAAGTATTATCTGCTTCTCTTGCTGGCCAGCCAATGGCTCAGATAGGCATATAGATAGTTGCTCAATCAAGTACTAAAAATATGATTTGTTCTGTTCACTGGAGCCATAATGCCTTGGCATTGTGAAAACTACCCAAATCCATTCAAAAAATGCAAGCCCTTGTGTAAGCCATGAAAAAGGATGCCAAACCATTTTGTTTCTTACAGATAAGGCAAACAGGAATTCCAGGGAACTTTTTGGAATGTAGTTTACAGCCACTCAGACTTCCTTTGTGAATACTGGTAGGGCATACACCTCTTCTGCATCTTTTGGATGCATCTTCTTCTGAGTGTTGAAAGTATGAGAATATTCCATGATATAAAGGCCACTCCAAGAACCAGTTGTGTTATTTTCTCCTCCCAATTTGACTGATAGCTCTTTGCTTCTCCATTACACTTCCAATGTCTTTTTATGTTTAGTGCATATTCTCAAAGAACTGCATAATCATATATAAGAAACACACATTAGGCAAAGGAACAAATTAATCTCATCTACTTATGGAAAGCACAACAGACAAATGGGGAGTAAAAGAAAGATTACGTGGAATCAGTACAAGTGATCAAGACTGAACATACAGGGCGAATTTGATGTCCATATGCATTGCTAAGCTTCAGTTCAAAACATTTGTTCCTCTTCAAAGTTATACTTGTGGGAATGTGAAAATTTTTAACAGTTCTGCTGAAACTGAATCACGTAAATTCTGCATGTAATAATTCTGCAGCCTAAATTATCTTCAGCTCAGAAAAGAAAAATCATGTAGACCAACTCTCCATCTTCCCATAACTTTTCTTCTTGGCATTTTTATTTGCAAATCTGTATTAGGCGATACTGACTAGCCACTGCTTTACTTTTTTAAAAAAGGAACTCCTTCTGCTATCAAAGTGCTTTCCATTGGTGCATCATGGTAGCATTCCTGATGAAGAAACTAAGCAGAGATCTTCACTGTGTGCAAGTTCTAATGGGATGATTTCCCTAAAGTCTCTGTCTTCAAAGATGGATATGCATGGGAAGGCCAATAATCAGCAATTGCCTAAGGAGCATTTGCTCTGCATGTTTTCAGGTCCCATTGGATGAATCTCAGTATTTTCATCCACCCATGCTTTCCCTTATAAAATCCACTCTCAAAGCAAGATCCCTAAAAGATGGTCGCAGACTTGTATTATTATTCCAGCACTCTTCCATGATGACATAAACCTTGATAAGAGAAAAACATCAATATGAGATATAATAATAGCAGTAACAACAATAATAATGCATTAATAATCATTAGGAGCTGCTTATTTTATTAACCTTGGGACCAGAGACATTGAACGCTTTGGTATACTATACATTATCTCATATAAAAATCTTCCTCTCTTAGCATCTTCTCCCTTGATATTCTTTCTACCAGATACATCTCATTTAGACATACAATTTCTTCATTAGGCAAGAACAAGAATGAGGAACTGGCTTAGTCTATATGATTTTACAGAAAGAGAATAAAACTTAGCAAATAGTTGTAAATTGTACTATGGGAAAACCAGAAATCAATTACTTTCCCCAACTCCTATGTCTTCTTCTCTATCTTACATATTAAGTTTTCTCTATTGCCAATGAGGCCCATGCTGGAAATCATAATTCTAGACTACTGAGAAAAAAAAATTCTCATTCCATTCAGCCATGAGGTTGTATCTAATTTAATATCTCTTATCAAGTAAATTTGGGGAAGTTCTGTTATACACTTAAGATCATTCCCTATTTTCAAAAGGGACTTCTATATCCTCTTTTGATAATACTTTTATGACATTTTACATTGGGGAGTGAAAATAATCTTAATGTCAAATACAGAAAACATGTTATTTGACTGCTTTGCTATATGATACAGTCTGAATGTAAGGAATCATTTGTGACCATAATAAATATCAGGTGGTAGTAGATTTTAAACAAAGTATGGAAGGACCTCTAACTGCCAGGAAGTTTTTTTAGACTGAAAACAACATGGATTCTAGATGAGATTATTGATAGTGAAATTATTATATTTCTAGGCTGCTGCTTTATTTTTAATCAAAACTGCTAATTAGAAATTAAACTATTTTTGATTTTGTAACAAATCTATTGAGAGGTAGAAACCGATCACAAAACTACAGGTAGTCCTTGCTTACCAGCCACTCATTCAGTGGCCATTTGAAGTTACAATGGCACTGAACGAGGGGGACTTATGACTGGTCCTTGAAATTGCAGCCATCACAGTGTCCCCATGGCCAAGTGACCATGATTCTGGTGCTTGGTAACTGGCTTGCAATTATGATCGTTGCAGCGTCCCGCAGTCACATGATCACCATTTGTGACCTTCCCACAAGCAAAGTCAATGGGGAAGCTGACATGAGGTCACAAGTTGCTCCTGCCACTTTTTTTTCCTGTGGAGACACTGGGCGGCAACGGGACCTTGTACTCCATAGCGCCCACCCGTGGCACTCGCCCGCTGGCCTGGGACACAGTTTCAGTGGCATAAGCAAGGGCTTCTGGATTCCCATTGTTGTTGTGGTCACATGAGGTCCTCATTTAATGACCCGTGCAGTCCTAGCTTAACAATCGCAATGGAGACTGCTTGGATTGCTGTTGCTAAGCAATGTGGTCGTGTGACATTGCGCTTTACAACTGCATTGCTTAATGATGGAAATTCCAGTCCCAGTTGCCATTGTAACCTGAGGACTACCTGTACTCCTATGACAAGTAAATACAAGCAATCTTTCTCTGATGAAACCTTCTCTGCTAACTACAGAAACGAATCAGGCATACTCATTACATATAAATTACAACCCAATACCTCATCAGGGCATCCATCAGGTCTTGGCAGCCTTCCATTATTCTTCAAAAGCTCTATCAAATGGAATACAATCATCTGGTTTTGCTTATCATTTCCAATCATGCGCATGAACTCCTAAAATAAAAATCTGAAGCTGAATTGTTGTAAGAATAATGATAATGTTCTAGGATTATTTATTATTTATCTTTTATTTATTAAATTTGGGTATCAAGGCAGGTAATAAATACAGATTAAGTAATAATAATCTTAGGGACAGTACACACCTTTACTTAAAATCCAGGTAGTTTCATCCATATAAATATAATATAGTCAATAGCTTGCTCCCTAGTCAGGTAAGAAATGACAAGTGCAGCATTTTGAAATGTGCTAAAAAAAATGGACCAGGCATTGTTACAGCAAGGAAATCACATGTCACCTATAACTGGATTCCATCAACAGTCTGGGTGCAGAAATGTGTATCAGCAGAAGTTTCTAAACATCTTCCAAAGGTGTTAGGAGTATAATTAAGATACAACTCAAGCTTGTGTCATAACGGTCTGATCTGACATCTCTAGCACTAAGAGCAGTTGGCATACTAGCTTTAGCTCTGCAAACCCTGCTTACCACTTGCCAAATTATGGCTGAATTCGAGAATACATTGAAATGTAAACCTGAGCCTTCAAAGCAAGTGCAACTCCAACAAATGTATGATAAACCTTTGTTCTCTGATCTGTTTCATCTGGTTTAATATTTAGTTTATTTCACTGTGTTCACTGATATCAGCTAATGGTTTCAAACTTGAACTGTTTCCTTAAGTTAGAAGGAAGGAAAATGGAGTTGGATGACATCAAGATACTAACAGCAATGAATCCTGAAATTTTGAACAGCTTTTCATAGCAACTGCATGAATAGGAGACAAGTTCAAAACCAAAAGGATCCTATAGATGAATGGCATGGCATCTAATGGGAATCTCCCCACAGTGCCAATCTCCTACAAGAGAGTCCAAAGCCATTTTAAAACCATAACAATAATCTTATGCACTGTCCATAAAATCACTGTTTTTCAAGACCCATCTTACTTAGCCAGGCAGTGGTGAAACAAGACTATTCCATTATCTTTGCTGAAAGAGTAGCACTGATCTCAATTGCTTCTAGCAGCAGCCAGTGCGTCTGATAAAAAGAGTAGGGCCATTCCATTGATTACGCTGAGAAATCAACTCTATTTGGTTCTTCCTCTCTTTGAAAATTTTCCATTAAATCTGGTAATTTTAAACACTTTGTACTTTTAAATGTTTGTGTTTCACATTGCTTGCTTTCCTTTTCTCCCATATTTCCTCCCCCCCCCCCTGCATTTCTCTTTTGAACGCAGGCAAAAGCACATTTCAGGCAAGCTGTTCTGGAAATCTTTTCAGCTGAAGAACTGGAAAAAAGTGCTTCAAACAAATAAATAGTACTTTTGCATTAGGTGTTTCAAACATGATCCTTCAATGAGTCCCCTGTAATACTATATTTGATTCAAGCTCCTTTTGGAGGTGTGGCAGAAACATGTAAGAAAATAGAGCATGCTGCCAAGAAACTAACCCAGTAAGTCAAGAAGCACTATACTTCCACATATAAAAATGATGTAGGCACACACACATTGCTTACCGCTGGAGGGCTTTTATTCTTGTCTATATAAGTGAAGAGTTCATACAAAACCACACCAAAGCTCCACATGTCTGAGGCCACAGAAAACTTGTTGTCTGTCAATGATTCCAGAGCATACCTACAGGATAAAATGAGAGGACTCAAAAGCCTGCAAATGCAAATATTACTTTGTTCACAACCAGGTTTAGCAACCTTTTCGTTGAGCAATTAATTATGGTTAAAAGCCAGAATTCTTATGAAATTGTCTATTGCATTCTTCTAGTTTAGAATCAATCAGCAGTCAAACATACCAAAATATAGGACTCTCTCCTGGTTCCTTTACTTTGTAATATTCTTTATCCTGTGGCAAAACTTTTGTCAAGCCAAAGTCTCCAATTTTAACTCTGTTTTCATTCTCCACCAAGATATTTCGTGTTGCCAGATCTCTATGTACATATCTTTTTGAACCCAGATACTCCATGCCCTATGTATAAATGAAATGATGAAATCAAAATTAGTTGGTTTAATAAGTACCAAAGATTAGTGGAATGCATTTTGAGTCATGTTGCTAATTTCTGAATATTGGACACTTTTTGCAGTAACATCCCATTAAGCTGATCAAGAATAAGGTATTGTAAGTTATCAAAAACAATTTTGCAATGTCAGGAGAAAAAAAAAAGAATTTTACAACAGGATGTTGAACAGCAAGGTTCCTGAAGTTGGTTATATCTTACCATTTTCTGTTAATTACCACTAGATGTCATATTTGTCTTTCTTGTCAAGTGATGGGCCAGAATGATGAAATTATGCATTTTTCAGCTCTTAGCCTTGTTTCATCATGCACTGACAATGTATATACACTACAATTGACATTTACTATTCTTTGACACTCTGTGGTAGAATGAGGCTTAGGGAATCTCTGACCCAAGTTTTTCTTTCTTTTTTTCTTAGTTTGTATAATTCTGTTTTTAGCTAACTAGGAAATTAATATCAAATATTGGGATTTATAATTTACATGCTTCAGATAAAAGCAGAATTATTGCTGTTCCTGGATATCTTTCAGTGAAAACCCATCAAAATAAGATTTTGGATGCTGTACGTGACTGTGACTGCAACATTGCTAAAATTAAATGAGTATGGACCTCTTTGGCCCCTGAAACAAGTGACTTATAAAACAGTAGGTTACAAATAAAAGCATAGTTTATAGTGTTAATGTACCAGAGCTTTCAAGTAGCTCCAAATGTAAACTCAATTACTGGTGTTATAATTAAGGGAACATCATTGTATCAACTGACAAGTGGAGAACTGTGCTTATGTGTAATGTAAACATTATTACAGAAGAGGAAGGATGAAAATTTTTTGCTGTTTCATCTCCTCTTTCCTCAAACTTCCCTCCGCAGTGGGTTTATCTGCAAGCTGTATGGTATGTTGCCAGGGAATAGTTGGGACTGCCTGCTCTTAGCACTAACTGATACCAGTCCCAGCAAGCATCTAGTAGCATCTTGCTACTAGTATCACTTTTGCTGTCACTATGCAAGAGAACCCTCCTCACTTTCCAAAATTCAAGCAGCCCATTTGCTGACTGAAAAGAAAGATTTTGGAAATTGACAGGTGGTGGCGGCGGTGGCAGCAGGACATGCATCTAATCCTTTTCTCTGCTTCCTGCCCTTCTATAGTTAACAGGGGAGTTAGGAAACATGGTCAGCTAAATTTCCGCTAAATTTCCAGTCAGAATGAGACTACTAATTTCAGAAGGAGATATAAGTTATTTATTGTGTAAATTAAAAATGAATGAATCATTTCATCATGGAAAAGATACTGTGCAAATTTAAAAAAAAGGAAAGGAAATTTGGATTCCAGCCAACAGGTAGGACCCTACATGCTCATCTATGCACACGCGTACACGTACACACACACCGGCAGAATAAAATAATAGCAAGGACACAAAGTGCAGCTCAGATCATTCATAATGTAAGTTAACAAAAGAACAAATTGTACTGAGCTACATGTTGCCCTAAATGATTCATTTCTTCTAAGTCACCAATGCTCAGTCTAGGATGGGAGTGGTTGGTCTTTATCTGGCAGAAGGCAGCAGAGAGAGATTCTCTTCTCCCATGATGGAAGATGAAGAACCAAGGCAAAATGGCCTTGGCCCTCCCCCTTTAAAACCTCACTGGAGAGACAGCCATAAACTGCCCAGCTTCTGATTGGAAGCTTCGAGTCTAGTTTCCCATATACTGGTCCCTGACCCATGTCAAAATTGGAAGATTTAATTCTGACTAATTTGTTTGTATTTGGATATATGAGAACTTCCTCCCCTTTTACTACAATTATGAACACCTCCCCTGGCATTTTAGTAATTTACACAAGAAAGCTCAGCAGTTAGAGATCTTACAGCTCTTCATGAAATGAAAGATGTATTAAAAAACTACTTCAGGAAAGAATGGAATAAGAAGTATCACTATCAAGGGCAGAAGAAATCAGCTGACACACAGCAGAATCTCACTCTACACCTACAGACAGATTGCAAACAGTTTTCACTGTTATTACTTATAGAACATAACCTCTATTCCCTGGCAGCTACAGAAATGTCTTCCCTCCACCCTCAGCAGCCAGATGAATAGAAAACTAGTGCATTAGACTGCTTTTCACTATTAGAAACTAGCATGTGTGAAGAGACTTCAAGATGTAAAAAAAATAAAAATAAAATAAGCAAGCGAGGAGTCAAGATTGTGTTATGAGAAACAGGGAATGGATGTATTCTATGTCAGTGACAGGGAAAAAAAAACAATTCCCTACAAGAATATTTAATGTAGAGTTTGTGGAAAACAAGAATGTAATTCTCAGTTTATTCCCATAGCAGGTTCAGTAGGATTAATTAATTACCTTGCATATCTGAGAAGCATATTGTAGGAGTTTCTTATGATCCAGCCTGTCCTTGTGTTTCTGAAGATAATCCCGTAAACTTCCATAGGGTAAATATTCCATTATCAACTTCAAATTTCTCCGCCCTTTCCAAACAAACATAAATATTTAGAACTAAAGTGATTTCTCCATATATAATATTGAAATTCTACACAAGGCTAATCCTGTCATGATTATGGCCAGCAAACATGTTTCTAAAAAAGAAGGGAAGCATCACAATAATTTTCTCTCTTTAGATAAAGGCATGTTCTAATCCAGAAACATCATTAAATGGTAGATGATCCTTAATATACATTAAAGCTTCAGAACATTGCAGTTAAAGCTGTAACTCCATACAAGTACTCCATGCCAACAAAACAGAAAACAGCAATTAGTTGATCAAAAGCTCAATAACTAAAGACATTATATCATCAGTATGCTGATGATACCCAATTACATCTTTCAACCCTGGGCCAGTCAAGGGAGGCTGTTGAGATTCGGTCCCAGTGCCTGGAGGATGTTCGGGTTTGGATGGATAAGAACCATCTCTGACTCAATGCCACCAAGACCAAGTGGCTGTGGCGTTTGGGTCACTCAAATCTGGGGATATTCTATATTCGACCTTGGATGGAGTTGCACTTCCCCATTCAAGAGTGGTGTGTAATCTGGGGGTCCTTCTGGACTCAGAGCTCTGGCTTGATGAGCAGGTGACAGCTGTGGCCAGGAAGGCCTTTACACAGCTTCATCTGCTGTGCCAGTTGTGTCCTTTCCTTGATCAGACAGTCACTCACACCCTGGTCACTTCACAGCTTGACTATTGCAGTGTGTGCTACATGAGACTGCCCTTGAAGACCACCCAGAAGCTTCCCAGAATACAGCAGCGTGGGCAGTGATGGACATGCCTCAGTATGCCCATTTAATACCTCTGCTTCATGACCTGCACGGTTGCCAGTTTGATTCCAGATGTGATTCAAGGTGCTGGTTGTTACCTATAAAACCCTACATGGCACAGGGCCTGGTTTCCTGAGGGAGCACCTGTCTCCTATAGTATTTGCCCAGCTGATTCAATCTGGCAGGGTTGACGCACTTGGGTTCCTTCCATTAAGCAGTGTCATTTATTGGGACCCTGGAAGTGCACCTTCCCTGTAGCAGTGCCTGCCCTCTAGAATGAGGTTTCCCCCCCAAGCTTCTGGTGTTTCAAAGGGCTCTGAAGCGAGGGTGAGTGAAGCCCCTTTAGATTCTTTTTTCCATTCCAGTCCACTTTCTATCATCTTGCTATCTTTTATTTCTTATTTCTGTTTCTGATTGTATCTTCTTAAAAAAATATTTTTACTTGTGAGCTGCCCAGTCATTGGGAGTTGGGTGAGACACAAACTTATAAACAAACAAACAAACAAACAGCATATAACTTTCTATCCTGCACTGACAGCAGGGCAGAAATATGAGAAAACAGAAGCAACAACTTCTGCTATTTCCTGGCCAATGAACAAGAACAAGATCTTAATCTGAACATCAGACATGCCCTCAATGAAAGGGTCTGAAATGAAATCAAACCTTTCTCAGCCAATTAATATGGAGAAACATGCAGCACCCACGTATTGTTGAAATATAACTGATAGTTCAACAATAGAGCCCCAAACAGCCTGGCTAACATGAGGAATAGTGTTCACCGGTAACATTTGGATGGCCCCCAGCTCGCCACCTTGATACAAAGCGAACACAGTAGTTTCTGTGACTATTAAATAGTTTCGTGATTAAGATAAAAAAGAGAGGCCAGGATTATCTTGTTTGGTTTTGAAATACAATCACTTTGCTTCTAGCATCAATTAGCAGCTTTAAAAGTAAAGCAAAACAAGTTTTTGGCTTGACAATGAAGTTTTTCCTCATTTATATATGTTTTTCCAAGCATATATAAATATGTGCAAGAGCTAAGAGATAATCTTCAGAAGTTATGAAGAAATAATTTTGCAATGATTTAATCAGCTAATCATAGTCTTTTTCATGTGTCAATTTAAAAAAAGTAAAAACAAATAAGCTTCTCAAATGTTGTGTGCAGTAGAAGCTAAGCAGAAATGTTAAGACAAAAACAAAGAAAATGGCAGTTCGCAAAAATGCTTCAGTATGTTAACACCAAATATTATAACAAGTCACCAACTTATTTAAGTAGGTAATGAACAATGAGATTAAATGTGCAGGGTACCAGCACTATAGCACACTCCTTTGTACTTGACAATGTTATCATGTTGCAGAGATTTGAGAATTTCAATTTCTCTTTCAAAATCTCGCAGGTATTCTTCTGTGCTGTGCTGCAGCTTCTTCACAGCCACCACCTCCCCTGTATTGTCCTGCAGTGGATCATATCGACACATTTCCACACTACCAAAATTACCCTGCAAAACACAGAAACAGAAAAAGGGAGGAAAAAGACAGAAAAGCATGTTCTTTCAGCATCAGTGCAAGACTGGGACTGATATATGATATGATATGGTAGTCTAGCACTGTGCAATATTCCAGCCATTAATGGGACCTACTAGTGACTCAGGGAATATCCTGGTTCTGGTCTCAGGCAGGTATGATATACTATTGCAGAAGAATAGACTGCACAAGAGAACATCAGGGAGTAAGCAACAATGCTAAAGTAAAAATACAAATAGCCCATCCAGTTTGCATTAATTCACAGTATATTCAAATAAAAGAAAACCAAATTATACAGAGACAGGAAAAGAATAGGTTATGGCCAAAATAAATGCACTCCCACATACCCTAGGGAGTGGCATACAAATCCATTCATTACAAATTATGTTGAATCAGTATAATTCATTGAAAATTATGAATTATACTGATTTATGCACATCTATCATGATCTTCCAATTTATATAGTATATAATTCTGAAAAAAAATGGCATATCCCTTGTAATAAGAATCCAAGCTTCTTACCTTGCCAAGTTGCTGCAAGAATTTGAGGTGTCTCTCTTCAAAGTAGGTTGGATCCCGTCCTTCAAAAGCTTCAGAAAATCCAAGAGCACCAATTCTCATATTTGGCAACATATCGTTTTCTGTTAATAATTCATAATCTTGAAAAAGAAAAAGTTTTAAGTAGGTAATACAGGTTTTACATATATTACCTTATTATAACACAACAAACACATATCTAAAGTCGGTATTACTATATCCATGTTCCAGAGGGAGGTTGAAACCCCAAGAAAATCCAAGAGAACTATTTTCCCCATTTTACCTACCTGGAGTAAATAAACTGTTAAGATCACGTATAACTGCTCTGAAAGAGGGCCTGAAATCTGGTTCATATTCCATACAGTTGTTTATCAGATTTGCCAGTTCTGTCCAATTGGGAGCAGGAAGCTGATGCCTATCTTCATAAAATTGTAGCTTCTAAACATTGAGACATTATAAGGATTATTAATATAATTTTAGACTAATTTTAAGATGCTTTCTATAGCAAGAGAGACAATTGGCCATGTTTCTTAGCATGTAACAAGTATAACACAAAATCTGTGTCCTGGCTCTTACACTCACAACTCAATTTAAAAGGAAGTTGGATTTTTTTGCTAATTTCATACCATTTATGTCTACTTAAATTTCCTTCAACAAGACTGTGAAACAAAAATATTTACTCCCAGTGTACCTATTTCTTGCCAATCAATAAGCATAGTTTGTTGCTCAAATTATACATTTTCCTCCAATTCCTCTTTCTCAAAAAGCCAATCATTTCAAATTCTCTTCTATTGGTATCATTTCAAATAAATAAATAAAGACTCACCAAATCTGCATAATGGTTGAGTCATCATAAATTAACCAATTAAAAGATGCCTCATGGAGCATTTACTAGCAGAGTCAAGGTGTTTTCCCTGAACCAGTGACATCATAAATTAAACTGCTTAAGGCAAGATCTAGGAGTACCCCATTTTCTTGTCTTGAACAGAAAATCACTTTTAAAACTATTTAATAAGTCACACTGAATTTTCTTAATAAGATTTTTTTTAACCTTAAGCAATATCAAAAAGCTAAGACAAGTTCAATTTAATTAGTACTTGAATGGAGGACTACCAGGAAACCCAAGGACTGAAGGCTGGACTGAAATTTAAGAAAAGTCCAGGTGGAAGGCAAACCACTTCCATATTGTTACTAAAAAAACAATAAAGGCACAAAGAACAGAGTTTGACCCAAAGAGGCTTACTTAAAACAAGCACAGTATCCTCAATACCTCTCCTACTTAATGCAATCCAACCTCACCCTATGAAATGGGGATGCCTTTCCAAGATCAACAGAATAAAGTGACAAAGAGGAAACCTGTGGGAATCAGCCTTTTCAGCAAAACGCTAAGAGGGTATGGGTTATGTCTGATGATAGACCAGGCAGTCAGGGAAATCATACCTCCCAGTACGCCAAGAACTGTTTTCTAGCCATTAATGTAGGACAGAGTCCCAGGAAGAAACTACACTCCAATGTTAGAGCATTTAAAACTGGTGTGCATTAGCATCTAGCAAGTTTCATTACAGAGCAACAGAAATGCTCAACTTGACATGGCCCTTACCCTTTGAGAATCCAGTGCACTGAGAGGTTTGTCTCCCCCACTGCAGATTTCCCACAGGGTTGTTCCAAAACTCCACTTGTCTGCTGCCAGACTCAACTGCTTGGGATTTTCAATGCATTCTGGGGGAACCCATGGAATCCTCTCAAGAAGAACTAGACAATGGAAAAAGAGAGTGAACTTTTATTAGGAATGAATTATAAAATTTTAGACTAAAGATTCCTGGAATATTATAATTGGTTTCCAATTTTATAAGCTCTTGAAGGGAAATTAATAAAAAAAACAAAGCAAAATAAAGATCAGTTTAGTACATAATTGACTGTTAAGAAGGCAAATACCTTTAGTTAAGAATAACATGGTTGCAGTATATATATTAAGTTTATGCACTGATTTCTTTGCTATAAAATATACTTGCCTGTGTATATTAGACATTACTAGTTAGAAAGCAAGAGTAGCTGTGTAACAGATTCAGTGATGGACTTGTACCAAGAGATTTTGAGCATTTTGAACCCTGCAGAAAGTAACTGCTACATACTACAAATAAATTCTTTCGGCTTACTTTCTATGATATTTTTATACTTGTTTCAACGTCATATTGCAATATGCAATATCCTTTCATAAGAAAGACATATTTACAAACACATGAATATGCAATTTTAGACAGCATATGTTAGCAGTATGTTAACAAAAATATGCCCCACCATTGTGGAAGGTTCATCACTCCTGGGGAAAAAAAAAGAAAAAAGTAAAACAGGAACTCCCTGGAATAAAATAATCAGTGAAATTAGAGAAAGAAAGCCACCCACTGACATTTTCAAGGCAGCACATAATGTGCTCAAATAGAGGAGTCAGAGACTTACTGTCTTTCGGCAAAACTGTAATGCTGATACCAGGATCGCTAAGTTTGATAAAAGGAAGGTTCCCAGACTTCCTATCTTCCTCTCTGATAAGCAAGATATTTTTTGCACACACATTCCCATGTACAAGGTTTTTATCCTCCTGAAAAAGATAAACGTCAAGATTTAATTATTATACTAAATATAATCTAATGGCCTACATTTAATTAATTTCTCAAGCTGACTTTGTGTACTTCAAAATACTATGAAATAATTTTAAAGTATGAAGCATGAAGAGGTAAAATCAATTTGTTCCCTATGAAACTGCTGGGGCCAGAAAGGCATTTTACCTATCCCTCAAAATGGCCTTTGGCAAAAACCAAAAAGCAACAAAAACAATAATATTGTGTACAGTCTTTCTCTAATTCTGAGATATGCCACTGTTTTAGGCTTGCTGGTCACATATGGTATTAGGCAGTACTTAGGATCTTGAGGTAGCTGGGATTAAAAGGGAGGGAAAGTTAAAACATTTTCTACCATCTTAGATTGATCTATTCTCTTCTGATATATTAATGTCCCAGCAGTTGCAAAGTTCCTATTTTCAAAGGCCCAGTTAGTGCAGGACTGAGAACGTCGAGCACTCTGGATTCAATCCAGAGAGTGCTTTCTGGCCACTAGGTCTATAGGAACACAATGATTTCAGGACAGCCTTTCTCCAATGATTATCATACCAGTACAAAAGCCAGAGAATAAGACACACTATAAGTGGTTCCTGAACCTGGTCAAAATGGCAACTGCATCATCTCATTTAGGAGAGAGCAGGGGCATCCATGGAAGGTAGCTACGAGACAAATGGTTGCCCCCTCCTATGTTGCACAGCCTGATTAGTATAGACAGCATCTAAAAGAGTTGTGATTTACTTTCAAATCTCAGTTGACACATTCCTTGCTATAGACTGCAAGAAAGATTTCAATTCAAGCTTTCAATGGTACACTTATGCAGTGCACTGACGTGAGAATACTTCACCTGAACATAGTGGAAACAGTCTAGTGAAGTATAAAATTCAGAGAAGGGGGGACAGAAAACTTGAACCTAAAGGTCATAACTTGGTAAAGTTGGCTCAATGTACAATTTGCCCTAAAAACAAAATAATGCATGGCTTCCAAAAGAGGAATTATAGGCCTGCATTACTCCAATTTTTTTATCCTAGAAAAAGCAGTTTCCTGCATTTGTTTAACAGTAACATCCAAATTATGAAAAAAAAATACATGCTCAGATTCTAAATAAGGAAATAATATTATAACAATAAGAAATTTATGAAAATGGATTATTATAACCTAATGACTTAAGTAACCTGAATAAACCTAAAGAATTTTTACCAATACCAATTAAAAAAAAAAAAAACTTACCAGAAAATGCATAGCCATTGCTAGTTGTTTTGCAACTTCTAATTTCCATAAGATATTTATAGAAGTTTTATTTTTCTTCAAGTAAGTATCCAATGATCCAAATTTTACATATTCTTGGACCAGAATATCTGATAAAAAATATATAATAATTTATAACACAGTGGAATTCAAACAGTATCTTTTAAATACCACACTGATTAATCTTCTTATGTAGTCCAGTATGCATTGTAAATTACTTAACTGAATCTCTTACTCCTTAGGATAATTAATGCTTAATAGTTCTTGGAAATGCAACAGATTTTAAAACTGCCTTCATATTTTTCCATAAAATGCTAAGATTTGGAACACAACTTATTCTAGGTAGCCAGACAAACTACTACACCCTGGAACATTATCAAATTCAAATTACTTAATACGAATTTATATGGAATGCTTAAAAGATAAAGTGTGGTTAAGGTGTTAGACTGGAAGACCCAAGTTTAAGTCCACCCACAGCCATGGAAGCTTGCTGGGTGGCTTGGACTAATCTCTCTCTTAGCCCAAGAGTTGTGGTTGTGGAGAAAAACTGGAGAGGGAGTACAATGCCTTGAGTCCTGGAGGAAAGAGAATGTAAATCTACCAAACAAATAATATTTCATTAATTTCTCAGACTGTGTCTTGTCTCTGAAAAGTTGGGGACAGTATTAACAACAACAGAAGCTGATGTCAAATGTGTCCGAGATTAAATTCAGGCAAGCACAAATTATTTTTTCCTACAGTTTAAGATGATTATCAAATCTTTTCTAGTACTTTGACAACTGCATTACAGCAAAATTACCTCATCCTTATCTATTTGCTACACACTACTTCTAACTGGAAGATGTGAATTTCCTTTTGCTGACTCACAGAGCTAAGTAGAAAGTTTTTCTCATGATACTAAGTACAAAGAGGCAGGTGCAAAAAGCATTTGAGCAAGCATTCTAGATAAGCAAAGGTGAATTATTTATTCATTTAAACAAATTTATACGGCCGCCCAACTCACACATGGTGACTCTGGGGAGCTTACAGGATTAAAATCTACAACACAAAAAGCCCATCAACCCCCACCCCACCCCTGAGGCGGCTACAAACACTATCAAATCGACTACTTGATTGGCTCTGTATCAACCCAGGTCCCCAGGCCTGCTGGCAAAACCACATCTTCAGGGCCTTCTGGAAACATCAAGGTGGTAGACAGTCTTATCTCTGGGGGAATATTCCATAGGAAGGGAGCCACCACAGAGAAGGCCCTTTTTTGTGGTCCCATTAGATGTACTTCCCTCACAGATGGGACCTACAACATACCCTGCTTCCTCGTTCTGGTGGGCCAAGTGGATGTAAGTGGGGAAAGGTGGTCCTTCAAATAACCAGGCCCCAAGGAATGTAGGGCTTTAAAGGTGATAACCAGCACCTTGAATTGGACCCGGAAGCAAATCAGCAACCAATGAAGCTCCTGCAAAAGAGGTGACACATGCGCAAATCTAGACTTGCACAAAACTATGCAGGCTGCTGCATTTTGAACCAACTGAAGCTTCTGGATACTTTTCAAGGGCAGCCCCATGTAAAGCACGTCACAATAGTCCAAACAGGAGATGACTAGAGCATGAGTGACTGTGAGAAGGGCACAATGGTCCAGGAATGGGTGCAAATGGTGCACAATTCGCAGTTGTGCAAAGGCCCTCCTAGCCATGACTGCCACCTGCTCCTTGAGCAGGAGTTGCGAGTCCAGGAGAGCCCCCAGATTATGCACTGGGTCCATCTGGAGCAGTGCAAGCCCATCCATGACCAAAGATGGTAATTCTCCAAGAACCAAGGAGCCCCGCACCCAAAGTTCAGTTTCAGCTGTTGCTCCCCATCCAGACCTCAACAGCTTCCAGGCACCGAGAAAGGGCAGTCATGGCATCGCTTACCTCACCATGGGCAGAGATGTACAACTGGGTATCATCGGCATACTGATGATATCTCACCCCATGGTGACAGATGATCTTACCCAGTGGCTTCATGAAGATGTTAAACAGGAGCGGAGAAAGCACTGACCCTTGCAGAACCCCACAAAGCAGGGACTGCAGGTTGGATATCTCGCTCCCAATCAACAACTGAAAACGGCCTTGGAGGAAGGAAGTAAACCAGGACAATACAATGCCCCCCACTCCCAACCCTTGCAGCCATTCCAGAAGGATACCATGGTTGATGGTATCGAAGGCCATGGAGAGGTCAAGTAGAGCAAGGATGGACGCACTACCCTCATCCTGCTCCTGCCAGAGATTTTTCTTTTAGATTTTTTAAATTCCACGTTTTTTAAATAAATAACTCAAGGCGGTGAACATACCCACATTCCCCACAATAAAAACCCTGTGAGGTGAGTTGGGGTGAGTGTGTGTGACTGGCCCAAAGTCACCCAGTTGGCTTTCATGTCTAAGGCGGGACTAGAACTCACAGTCTCCTGGTTTCTAGCCTGGTGCCTTAACCACTAAACCAAACTGATCATCAAAAAGCATGACCAATGCTGTTTCCATCCCATATCCATGCCTGAATCCCAACTGAAAGAAGTCCAGATAATCATTTCATCCAGGATCCTCTGGAGCTGCAGCATGACCACCTTCTCAACAACCTTCTGCAAAAAGGGAAGGTTGGAGACAGGGAGAAAATTGTCCACCAGGGTGGGATCTGGCGATGGCTTCTTAAGAAAGGAACAAACCACAGCGTCCTTAAAGGGCTGGGGCACCACCCCCTCATCCAAAGGTGCACTGACCATCAGCAGTACCCACCCGTGCATCACCTCCCTTTTACCAGCCAGGCGGGACAGGGATCTAAAACACAAGCTCATATTCCCCAGATCCTGTTCATTTCCTCAGGAACAACAGGGTCAAATCATTCCCAGGTAACTGGGCAAGAACCTACCCCTGGCATCTCCACTGGACAAATATCCATACTGACCTCCAACAGGAATCCGAGTGATTATCTGCCAGAAAATCAGCAAATTCCTCAGCATGCCCCTGCAGGTAAACCTCTGAGTCCTCCTTACTCAGAAGGAACCAGGTCACCTTAAAGAGGGCTGTCAGGTGATTTTCTGCAGATGCAATTAGTGCGGAGAAGTATTTTTGCTTTGCTGCACAAATTGCCACAAGGTAGAGTTTAATAGCAGCTCTTATCATGTTTGATTGAGTTTGTCCTTCGTCTTCCGCCAGTGACACTCTAGATGTCTCTTGATCCGTTTCATCCCTCTCAGTTCCTCCCTATACCATGAGCCATGGTGAGGTCCACGGGTCAGGAGAGGTCGCTTGGGCATATTATGATTTGGCATATAACTTCAGACCAATTTAGCCACATGCTTCTACTTGCTTATGACAGCTTGAAATGATAATAGATAACTTGAATGTGTAGGCTAAGGCTTGCTAGCAAGATCCCAATTTCTCAGATCTTGACTTGGTATGGTTTGACTAGGCTTATATTAGCTTAAGCTTCTCCAACATACAGGCCACATAAGACTCTTTATTCCATACTAGGCAGAAACAACTAGAACAGGTGATTGCCTGCAATTTCCTTTTAATGTTCACTGTAGGTGAATTTTTGGTGCTTCTTCCACCTTTCCCATGATTTAATGAACTTTTTGCCCAATGCCCTCTTGCCTTGAAGGCAGGTGACTGTTGGTCCTTCACATAACTGACATTCTGTCCTTAGAAATTCTGGTTGTCAGTCCCACACTACTGGTGGAACCTACAGTTTTATTATCTTCTGGTAACTCTCAGGAGCAGTTAGTTTCAAGATTTCAGTGTAAGGAACAAAACATTAAAAATATCCAGGTCTGCTCTGATTTTCATACAGGTATAATTTAGTACAAACCATAAAATCTAGCTTTTCAATGTTGTTTTGGTGGATAAGGAAAAGACTGGAAATTTTCATAATGGGAGATCATGTGGATATGATGCAAAGTTATTATCTTAGACTGTTCAATTGTTTTGTTTTTTTTAAATGAAGAAAAATGAATGTCAAAATTAAGCAAAAAGACATTTAAAAAACTTTTAATCAAAAATAGCTTTCACACACATATACACAGACTCAAAACACGCAGTAATCTTTATACTAGAATTCATTGCTATCTGGTATAATGAGGACCACCAATTTAAAAGTCTTTAAAAAGAAATTAAACAAGAGGAGGAGAAGCTATCAATGACTACTAATCACAGTTGCATTCTTTGAAACCCAGCTGGTATGGAGGAGGGCTATCTCCAACCTGTCCATGCTTGTGAGCCTCCTGAAAGGTTCTGTTTGGCTCCTATTGACAAAGATTACTAGACTAAGTGAGCTGCTGATCTGATCCAGTAGGATTCTTATGTTTTCAAGAAAATGCATAACTGTTTTACACATATCCAGTTAGTGTAAAACTTTCCCTATTTCATGTTTACAAGCATACTCGTCATTCAGTTACTGTACCTCTACTTATGTATATAGAGAGAGCTCTGAAAAGAACTCTAATCAGAGTACAAACTATTAATTGGATTTACTCACTTTCTTCTCCATAGACACAAACTCCATAATTTAATACTAAGTGTTTGTAAGAAAGCTGACTCATCATGCTTGCTGCTTCAAAGAAAGACTACAAGGAAAAGAGAACAATTAGGAAAGTGAGTCAAAGTAGGAACTGCTTAGAATTAATCCAGCTATATTTTTACACTATTTCATTCCCCATCTTCTGCTACTTACTGCACAATTAATTCTGCACAGCTGGTCTCAGTAGATTTTTTTTTTAAGAATTCTTTTGTCACCATTAATAATAAATAGTGTCGATTTACTGGCAAGAGGAAAGTCTATGATGAGCACAAGTGCTCTTCATATCTGGTCAAAGGAGATGGCAGCAATATTTGATATATATAAAAATAAGTTTCAGCAAAACAAAGATGGGACAATCAACAAATGAGTCATTAGGAAATTGCTTTTGAATTCCAAGCTATAGAATTTTTTTATAGTCAGAGACAAAACTTCATAAGACCCTTTATCAGCTGTATCATATTATCAAATTCAACACATTTGCTTTCAGAAAGCATGGAAAAAACTGCTACAGGCCGTTTACCTCCTAACTGTTGATGGTGTAGAATCATTTTAATTTCTAATTAGTACAAACATTTAATCAACATCTCTTTAAAAAATCATGGAATAATCAACTCCATAACACCAGAACTCCTGCCCAGCAATAAACAACAAACTGGGCTGCTCTGAAATGACCAAGACTGAAAGGAGAGGTCTTCTTCCTTTTTTTATTTTATTCTTCTGCAATCATGAGATTAAGATGTATTTATTAAACTACATAGATGAAGTTTTCAGGGTAGGTGCAATGTTTTAGAACAATCTCTAAGCCAACCCAAATTCTGTATTGAAAAGCTGAATTTTGTAATTTTAGTAGCTTTTGGAAATGGACTTGTATATTTTAACTTAAACCATTCATGGGAGAGTAAGAAAGAAGAAAAGCTGCCACTAAGATCCATTTTTGCCTCTTGGATATTCAAAATCCTACCATATAGCTAAAATGTGTGTAATTTTCCAAATTGTGCACACTTTTCAACAAAGGAAAATTCATCAGATTTATTCAATGATATATAGCTATTAGTCAATAAATTTGGCTTGCATCTTGGTTGTTCCTTTCAGATGTGATGCGTTTTTAATGCTTTTTTTTTTTTTTGCTTCACTCTATATCATTTCAAACCAACATCATAGTCAGTAAAGAAAAAAAGCAGCGGATGTCTTTTAATTCATATTAATTAATAGGACTCTTTTAATTAATATACAAACCTCTGAGTAGTTTCTGTGCATTATATCCAGAACTTTCAGCAAGACCTCAGTCTGATACAGTTTACCATAGTCTCCTACTTCTTTCCTTACTCCTTTGAAAATTTTAGTGAAGGTGCCCTGCCCAAGGCTTTCATTCTACCAAAAAAATCCAGAACATTTGAGATGGAAAGAAAAAAGGTTAGTCAAGCATTTCAGGCCACATGAAAAACAATAAAACAATTTTAAAAAACACTGATTTAAGAAGGATGCTTTGGAGCAGAGGAGATATCTTTTTAGACACCAAATTACACAGCCTCATTTTTTTTATACTAAAGAAACTGTAGGACTGTAACAATAACCATCTGAGAGCGCATCTTTATCTTAATAAAAGCACAAAACTACTTTAAAAAGGAAATAACACATCCTATTCTTAATGAATGTACTTACATAGTAAATGAATTTCAATTTTCAATGAATAATGAAGGGAAACCTTACATCTTATATTTGTACGCTTTTATCATAATAAACATTCAGCTTTCAGTAAGTGCAGTATTGTATAATTTCCAGTAGTACACAGCACTGAGAAAAAGCCCCATGATATTTAAATTAATTGAACTTAATTCCCAGAACTGCACTTAGATCAGGGTGTTAAAAGAACAAGAATTCTATATTAAGCTTACAAAGATAAGGTCTTCATTCCGAATTTTGTGAAAAACCATCTGGTTGACATTATTATGTCTCTGCAATGTGGGTGATGTTGGCATATCAGAATCTCCATTGCTCCTGAAGACAAGAAGGTTGGACTTATCTGCAAGAAGTCAACAGAGTGCAAGTTCATACAAACATATTTTACTCACTTGCCTTCTAACCAAATATATAAATTGCTTCCACCAGAAAATTACTGTACAAATTGATAGAGGAAGTTAAGAAGGCTCTATTTGTGATGGCTCATTTACATATAAAAAATGAGAAAACAACCAACATGCAAACACAAACTGTTGTTCATGTAACTAAGTATATCAGGCAAAATATTACTTTCTTTCACTTTTAACCAAAAGTGAAAGCTGCTGCTACATCCAACATTCTGCAATCAGCCACGAAGCTTCCTATGTGGATTTTAATTAATAAAACTGGGTGACCGTGGGGTACTTATTGCAACTCTCAACCTAACCTCCCCGGTTGTGTGAACAAAAATGGGGGAAGAGGGAAGCCATGGAATAGAAATATAATTAAGTAATTAGGTACACTTTATCTAACAATAGTATTAAGGAATATTTCTGAGCAAAATAGGAATGGGTGTAGCATGGAAAGAAAACTGCATGCACATGCAAGATATATCCATCCTATATCACAAGTTGCACCCTCAGTTTCAAAAATCTCCTTGAGTTTGTGATCATGTTGCATATTTCTTGGATTGTTCAGGAGACTGTCATCATACTTCTTCTTTTAGTTCAAGCAATATTGCAGCTCCACTTCCAGCTACAAAATACAACATAGCATTTGCTTGCATTTTCTCCTACACAAGAGAACAATCTGCCACTCCTGTAAAAGCCACAGTAGTACAAATGATAATGCATAGAAGAGCAGCTAAAATCAGCAAGTCCTGCAACTAAAATTACTTTTCTATCTCTTCACTTTTTCTCAATCTTCTGTCAGTCTCCAGAATTCCTGTCTAGCAGAGAAGCCACACAGAATCCTGTTAAAGAGGATTCAAGGAAAATCTGTCTCCTTCCTGAAAGAGCCACAAAGGGACAAAAATATTAATACCAGCAGCTATTTCTGTGCTAGTAGTGGAGATTGGTTCCAAAGTCAAACTACAGTATACACATCAGCATTTCTGAAGCACCCAGAGCATAGCAGCTCCAAAGCTAAGCTTGAATAACTGCATAGGAATTGAGCCATTTCTTAAATCCAAACAGATTTTAGAATTTTAGAATTCTGAAGAGGAGGGAGGACTTAGACACTTCCTATATTTAATGGTTAACAACTTACATTCTTCTTTTACTACTTTCCTTCTTGCCCTAATCCCAGTGTATCATAAATATCCATTCCTTGCATCACTTGTGCCATGCATTCTGGACACCGAGTGGAACATATAACTTTAATTGCAGGAGTATCGAACTTAATCTGGATGGAAAATGAAATCAATCCCAATCCCCAGAAGATCAACTTATATTGGTTACCAGGGGGCTTTGTGAAAAAAGGAGCTATAGTATTTTTCTCAGCATCCTTCTGCATGGCAAAATGTTCTCTGCAGTGAAGGAGGAAGAGAGCAATTGCTCCTAGCCTTGTTCTACACAGAAAAAGGGAGCAATCTCTGTATTAAGCAAAATAGAGTAATTGACCACATCTGGCTTGCTACAGAGTGAGTAATTTATTGAGTGGATTCTATCTTGTATCTATGGAGAGTGTGCCTATGTATGTGCATAGGTGTATATGTGTGTGAGAAACTGTGTTGTTAAAAACTTCTGCTCTTTTGTTGTTTAATGTATGGCCTTGTATTTTTTTCATTTGTGGTAATGACAGCTATTTCTCTAGCTCAGTTGCCACACAGTACTGTCATAATCAACAAATAAAACAATTTAAATTGCTTACCTTTTGGCTTTGGAGGGCAGCATCTGATAAACTGGAAAATCATACTATCTGATCGGACAGTTTCTGTCCGATAGCAATTCAACAGATCCACAAGGCTGGTAAAACTTTTTCTAGTTCCAGTGAGATTATATTCTCCATTTTCATTTTTTGTTATCAAGCAGTGTTTATAATCAATTATGCTGTTTTGCTGCAAAATTTAAGGAAAGTTTTAAAAATGATACTTTAAATCAACACTTTTATTTGTTATTGCGTTAAATTTAATCAAATATCATGCATAATTCCAATTAGGCAAGAGGGACTAGGAATATACCTTGTAGTAGTATTGGGTGGTGAAGTGAAGTAAAAAACTGGGAGAATAGAAAAGACTATTGTGGAAAAGGAGTGGTTGGCTAGGGCATGGAACATTCCATTTCATTACTGGTTCCTTTGTAGCTTTCCAACTTTCATTCATTACACAAAAACTCCATTACAAACAATTAAATACGTTGAACAAAATTATGCTTTAAATTTACTTTGAATACCCAGCTATCATGACATTAATACTTAAAGATAAAGATGCAAACTGTAAGATCTGGGAGTTTCACCTGCTCTTTAAGTGCCATGTAATGCAGCCTAATTTTGTTTTAATCTACAGCAAAGCTTGCTAGAACAAAGGACTAACACAGCTCAACACTTCAACTGAATTAAGGCTTTATTAAATGCAAAGGTACTGAACTGTCCTGCTGCTCCTTTAGCATATAAAAAATGAGCTGTATAACAAAATATTTTGATTTTTATAAAGCAAGCTCTGAACTTGAATAATCTTAATTGCTTTCAACTCTGCTTAGACATATCACTACAATGATAATAGACACAAAAATTAGCAACATAACAGACTAAATGTCAGAGGAGAACATCCAAAGTGTGTCCTTCAAAATTTATCATAACTTCTAAAGTAAATTTCAGATACTTAAGAATATTGCACATTTTTTAACAAATGAAGAAATCAATCACTTCTTAATAAGTTACTCTGGAATAATAAATGCTGTGACTTTTGAAGGAACAACTAACACTAATCATTTTTATAAGCCATTTCACAAGTTCCTCTGGCACTTCCTATGTATCTTTCAAAACTACTGTTCTGTTGGGAGATACACATAAATGAATAGAAATCACAACCAAACTTTGAAAACTGAAATATTATTTGGCACCTGAATCAACAAAGAGAGTAAATGGGAAGATTAATAAAACATTGTTCCAATTCTTTGCTGATTTTCATAAATATACATGCTATTCTCAAAACAGAGATACTGACATTATTCTGAAAACCAAAGATGATTTTTTTCAAGAAAGTAGTAGATAAAAAAATTATACCCAAAATAAAAGGAACTGAAATCTCCTCTTAAACTCAAAGCAGTTGGGAATTTGGATCCTTAATACTAACCTGCACCGCAAAGGTAAGAAAGTATTTATTAAACTCCTTAGGACTACAACGAAGAACATAAAAGCCAGTCTGATTGCCAGCTTTCTTCAGTTTATTGATTGCAAAGTCCATGCTGTTTTTTAAAAAAACAGGAGGAAAAACAAAGTATTAAAAAGAGTTGACATGTCTTGAATTACAGAACATATGGGATATACCAGATTTTAATCCTTTATGTAGAGCTTTCAAACTGAAATACATTGTGACTTTCTTCTTATGACTACTTATAAGTAGCCCGCACAGTGAACCAAACCTGTTAATTGTGTTGTGACATATAAACACCTATGTATGTGCTTGGTCATCTTAAAAAAAAAAAAAAGACCAGAATCCTGTTGTCAAGAGAAGCCAGAGAACAGACTCGTCTTTGGTGAAGGGACTTCTTTTACAGGAACATGGAATTGGAATTCTGATTCAACTAAGTGGAAGAATTATACCACCCTTCCATTCAACAAACACTCCTCAATTCCTGCCACTACTGACAGAACGCTGAAATCAGTCTGGCAACTAATCACACTAATACTCGATAAGGAAATAAGGATAAAAGAGCAATCATATGAACCTACAACCTACTGGGTACAGCTAGATTGTACCTCTGATTGTCTGGACAATGTGAGGTAACAAATGTCAGAAGTTTCTTTTTTTCTCAAGGGCATTAGGTGATCCATCTTGGGATATTTAAGAATAGTACTGTCTTGTCAGATGTAGACTTGAAAGCCAGCAGACAAATACTTTTCTTCAGATGCAGCCTCCACGGGAGAAACAAGTCTTAATTTTTAATGGTTTTACCAGTTCTGCACAAGGCTCTATTGTCCAGAAGCTTCCTATACATGTTCCCCTGTAGAGATCTGTGCAAATGGGCAGAGTACAGTATACAATACTGAAGTGACTGGATAGGGACATTAGCTATAGAAGCTTTTGATAAGCAGGATATTAACCAGAAGGCTACGACTTAATATTCCACCTTCATTCAACCAGATTCTCTGTTAGCAATCTCATCAGTAGAAAACTTCCTGAGGGTGTGGAACTATGTTTATCCTAAGCCATAATGTGGTTTGATTTCACCTTAGCATGTTTGTTCAATAAAATACAATTATTCTGAGTTATCCAATAAACCATAATTAAGCAAATAATGATAATGGTATCTGGGGAGTCTATGTAAATGCACAGACTTTCATTTCTCAGTGCCCAAATGATCTGGTGGGCCACATTTCCTGAAATCAGTGAATCAGACAGGCTTTACACTCTAAGACACCAGGCTAGAAGCCAGGAGACTGTGAGTTCCAGTCCCACCTTAGGCATGAAAACTGGCTGGGTGATTTTGGACCAGTCACTCTCTCTCTCAGCCCACTCCACCCCACAGGGTTGTTATTGTGGCAGAAAATAGGAGGAGAGGGAGTATTAAGTATGTTTGCCGCCTTGAGTTATTTATAAAAATAATAAAGGTGGGATAAAAAAAATCTTTTTAAAAAAGTAAATGCTATTCCACTTATTTCAGAAAATGCTTTTTACTAGATAAGTTAGTTGAAGCCTTTGTGTCACATGTGCTAATGCTTTCCTGTTCTGTCGGGGTGAGAGTGAAGAGGAAGGCAATTTAGTGACTATATGAATTTTTCCCCCTTAATTCTTTATCAAAAAATAATTAAGCCAACAGATTATGGTCAAAGCTAGTGTTCACTAATATATGCCTTTCCTCCACTCTATGATGAGACGGCAATGACCATAATATTTCTGCTTTTGCAATGAGAGAGAATGTAATCATTGATTTGAGACATTATAGCAAGCATCAGCTCTTGGTCATACTGCATAGGTAACAAGGGAAGCAGTGAGGGAAAAAAGGGCTCCCCCCCGCCGGTTCACAAAATGAATCTGTCAGTGAAATGACACTATTTTTAGTAAATTAAAAAATTGCTAAAAAATCATTTTCCATTTCCTTGACCAACTTCTCCCACCATCTGAATGCCACCAAAACAAAAACATAGGTAGTCCTCGAGTTACGATGGCAACTGGGACTGGAATTTCTGTCGCTAAGCGATGTGGTAGTAAAGTGTGACATCCTGTAACCTCATTGCTTAGCAATGGTAATCCCATCAGTCCTGGTTGCCATTGTTAACCGAATCCCACCAGTCATTAGCTGAGGACCCACACCGATCCAAGCCACTCCCAGCTTGGTCCCTCCCAATCCTGAGTCTTGGTAGGGTAAGGGACTGCCTCCTCTTCAACTGCCCTACCCACCTATCCCCCCCCCACCTCTGCACTTTTGGCTGTCTTGCTCTCCACTATCTCTGTGGCCTTGCTGCCCTGTGCTCACTGGTCCTGCTGGCCTTGCCACCCTGCACTCACTGGCCCTCCCAGCCTTGCCACCCTGTGCTCCGCTTGCCCTGCCAGCCTTGCCACCCTGCACTCTGCTTGCCCTGCTTGTCCTGCTGGCCCTGCCACCTCTGATGAGGCGCACCTGGCCTGACCCTACATGAAGCTCCAAAACCGTGCAAGAAGGCCGCCGGTGCGGCCTCAGGAAGACGGTCTGGCGCAGCCAGTAGCTGCCTTGTGAATGGCCAGGCTAGGTGCACCTTGTCAGCAGCGGGAGGAAGACAACAGCGAAGGTCAACTGGGAATGGCAGGGCAGCACGGCTGGCAGGGCCAGCGAGCATAGGGTAGCAAGGCTGGCAGGGCCAGTGAATGCAGGGCGGCAAGGCCGGTAGGACCAGTGAGCACAGGGCGGCAAGGCCAGCAGGGATGGCAGGGCCAGTGAGCACAGGGCAGCCAAAAGGGCAGAGATGCCCATAACTTCAAATGGTCGCTGAACGAATGGTCTTAATTTGAGGACTACTTGTAATTGTATAGGACAAAATGGGGTGGAAGCAACAGAGATTAAAATAAGAAAGAATATTTTAGATTAAAATGGGATATCAGAAGAGGTTTGAAGAAATTTGGAAGACTATAAAGGAAGATACAATTCAGAGAGTAATTCTTCCTCCAGTTAAGCCAAAAAGCAATTCTGTCTTCCACAAGATGTGATTTCCTAAAGATGGAGACTAATATCTGACCTTTTCTGAGTGACATTGTTATAGTGAACTTTTTCCCATGGAACTCTCACTTGATTTTGTTATTCATCAGTACCTTAACTGAAACATGCAATACATTTAATTCCTCAGAACAAGGAAATGCTATACAGAAGCACATAGATATTTCTACTCAGAAATCATTTCCCCTCATCTTTACAGAAAAGAACAGGAAGAAAAAGTCTTTACCAACAGTAATTTCTTTTGCTAGCAATTTTCTGTGTTCCCTAACAATCATTCAAGCAGTTGATATATGGGAATAAATATGTTGTTTACTAAAAACTTAATGATCTACAAAATCTGAAAGACTGGATGGGGATGTGTATCAATGCAAACAAGTTAAAGTGGACCTAAATAAACATTGGAAGATACATAATCTGCCACAAAATGATACTGGCTGTATATATGAAAAACTGCTTCTTTGCTACTAATGCTTTATTCAAGGCACAAACATGGATTGGCTGTGTCATGTCTGCAAGTGAACATCTCTCTCCCGTTCTCCATCTGCAGCAACCAGGACCCTTGCATCCCTACTCCCATCTGCCATAACTCCTCGCTCTCCACACTGGTCCCAGATATTTGCTGACTGGTACTTGCAGGGAACTGTCTTTTACTTTTCCACTCTCTCTATTGTCAGCAGCCACAGCAAGAACAGCTATTTTACCCTGCTTCCCAGGGCAGAAAGGAGAAGTTTCTCCCTCAGTGTGGTCCAAGTTGCATCTATAGCCATAGAGGGAAGTTGTTTGTACAAATGAGCACGCTAATGTACGTGACGACTGCTGTGCTCCCAAATGCCTAATCTAGCATCTGATATGCCTCTAGTTCAAAAAGTTACCTATATCTGATATAAATGTCAGAATAAAGTACTGCTTACGAAATTGGCCCATGGCAGTTGCTCTGGATATTTTCAAGAACTGAAGGAGGTGCCACTTCTTTACAAAGGTAATGATGAGCATCTGCAGTTAATCTATAATATCCATCGATTAATGATACAAAAGAAAGAGCATCTTTTAATGAATGAAATTCAGCTTCCTATAAAAGACAAGAAGAAAAGATGTTGCAGAAAATGTGTAGTAACATGCAAATTACAAAAAGCATTCACAGTCAAGCCTGACTGATGTATTACGTTAATCATCCACGATGCACTAAGATGAATAAGCATGGATTTTCTATCTTAACATTATGCTTTTGAATAGATTTTATTCAATATTTTATTTATTTGTTCACTTTATTTGAGTGCTGCCCATTCCTGAAGGCTCTCGGCAGCATACTTTACTTTCAAAAGAGTTAATGCACTGGTCTGAGATGGGCGGCTATATAAATTGAATAAATAAAATAAAAATAAATTAGGGATTTAAATGCAAAGTTTTGGAAAGGGCTGATGTATCTGGCATGCAAGCTTCTGTCTCCTGCCAATTTAAGCTGAGCAAAGAATTATCCAGAGCAAAACCTTAGATCACCATATTGATATATCTTAAGTAAATATAAACTGAATGTAAGACAGATATTTAAGCAGGCCTCTAGAGAAGCATATTCCAAGCTTTCTTCTTCTTGGACAGAACGTATCTAATTATATCTATAGTAGCCAGGTGCTGGCTTTCTGGCCATGCTGGAGAAAGAAGCTTGCACTCCAGATACTATAGCCCAAAATGTCAAAAGCTGCCTACTCCTCAGATCACACTAAAACAAAATAAACACAATACAATTTAGCTTCCCTCTTTCTCTCTCTCTCATCCCTCCACAAAAAACCTCCCTAAAGTTAAAAAAAAAATAAATTAAATATCAGTATCTCCAGTTAACATTAAAAAAATAAACATAATAAACTGAAGTTGGATGAATCTGAATGAAGATAGTGAGGTTAATTCCTATGAAAATGGTTAAATGAACTATGTTTAGCCTAAAGAAAAGAAGTCTAGGGAAGTGTCAGCTCTTTGAGGTAGGCCTGGTAAGGAAACAAACTCTATAAGACTGCTGGAACTCTACTTCATTGTTGCAGGATGTAGTAACAGAATCTTGAAAGCCTGACAGAGTTTCTCCTTCCCTCCTCTTATACCAGAGGATCAAGGCATGGCAATCTTCTTCTTCACTTCCTTCTCCCTTTCAAGGAAAAACCGGTGCTTACCTAATAGATGTAGAATACCTTCTTCAAGGCCACTACTTCCCCCATGAGACTAAGTCTCCTCCTCCTCCCGTGGAAAAAAGAAAAAAAAACACTGGTAAAGTGCTATGGGAACTAACTACAGACTCACTCTCCCCACCCTTGTTTGACAGCTCTCCAAGGTCACCAGACAAGTCTTGCCGCACAGACTCAGACAGAGCTGGGGAGTCCACCCCTCCCTTCCTGTTGTGTTGCGGCCTGTATTGGAGAGTCTATTGTGGCAGAAAGCACAGAGTCCTCTTCATCCTGGAATTCACTGTCTATTGATAGTGGTGGCAGATCATGGGGATGGGGCTTGTGCAGGAATTTCAGAAGAAACTGGTGTACAAAGTGTGGGGCACGGTTATCTAATGCACCTTCACATTATCTCTTCGATTCAGGGTAGCTCTTCTAGTGAATCAGATACTCCAAACATCTCCTACATCTAGAATCCAGAATGCATTCTACTTCATATTCTTTTAAAAAACTTGATCCTTAATCCCTTCAAATAATATTCTACAAGTTGACTTATCATCATTTTCTCTTTGTCTCCTCTCAGGAATAGCTTCAATAGTTTAACGCATCCTTTTTGTAAATTGAAGATAAGAAGGCTATCTAAGTCACTCTTCTGATTTATTATTATTTGTATGTCCCCTTTAGTTGTTAAAACATCAGCCAGTTTCATTAGTAAATCCATTGTGGCATCTTTTTCCATATCACTCTTATCATCTGTCATTTTCAAATCCATTTTCAAATCCACATCATCTTTTTTTAAAATCCATTTTCAAATCCACATTCAAGTCAGCCTCAATCTCTATTTTGTCCAGTAAAATCTGTTCCTCTTCTCTGTAGTCTCTGTTAGATTTTTATAGTGGCAGACAGTCTTGAAAGTAATTTCTGAGTACACTGTTCCCAGGCAGCCTTAATTTCTTCTTTTGTCAGATAATATTGCTCCGTTGTATTAATAGGGCTCTTCTCCTTTTAATGGTAATCCTTAGTTCTCTCTAGTTCCCTCCAGTCAACCTTCAAAGTTCACTCTTATCATATGTTTATTTTCCAATCAGCAAAACTTTCCATGGGAGGATTTCTTACAGTTAATTTCAAAATCTTCATATATACTTTTATAAAATGTTAAACGACCCACAGGAAATATTCTTTCAAGTCTGTCTGGTCCCTTAACTTTCCAAAATCAACATTCTAGTCCCTCTTTTGCTATTTTCCAAAATTTAATTTTTTTCTTTTTAGTCCTTAAACTTACATGAAACTTCTTTCATCCAGGATAGAAGAAAGCTCTCCCAGTACAATGAAACTTGCCCTTCAGAAGGTTCTTAACATCCAAAAGATCAATTACAAGCAATTTCTCAAGGTAATTAAGAGAGGAAGTGGGCAACCCCAGTGTCCTTTGAGGGTGCCAAACTATGGTTTAGGCAAGATGATTTTCCCCTGGCTCCCAGAACTCTCAAATCCTCCAGAGATTGCTATTCTACAATCTCTTTGCAGGGAGCCTCCATATGAAGCAAACTTATGGGTGATCCTAGTCCTCTCTTTAAGCTGGAAAGGAGTTCTGAAGAGCCAATCCATTTACCAGCTCCTCTTTCTGCTGCAGCCATCGGCTCCATGAGGAGTCTGCCATTGCTTCCCCAGAAGTCCAAACACATATTTTTCCAATTTAGCAAAAAACATGCTTGCGGAGTCACTTTAAGACCCTTCTAACACAAGCCTCATAAAAAGATGGGTCTTCTGAAAACTCAATATGCCATCCAAATACTACACTACAGTGTTATCCAAAATATTTAATTCTTGAATCTGGAGAAGATTGTGTTGCAATTAATCAATCCAAATGGCATTACTGTGTATTCCAATTTGCCACACCTGATATAAAAGGCAGTTAAAATATGTACCTCTCAAGTCCTATTTCATGAAAATGTGTGTTTTGAAACCAGTCCAGGTCTGAAGTAAGAGGCAGTAGGAAGTGATCCCTAATGGTCACAGTGTTTAGGAGTCAATAGTCATGAACAGCTCCCAAAGAATTATCTTTCTTGGACAATAAAAATGGGGATACAGACACTGGAGATCTAAAAGAGTGAATGTAACCCTTCAGATTATTAACCAGGAACTCCTTCAACGTAGCTAACGTTTGAGTAAACGTAGGATATTGCCTCTTAGCTGGGATTTGAATCCCTGGCTTCAAGTTGATGGTAAGGTCATACACTCAGTGAGGAGGCAATGAAGTTGCTTTCTCCTCTCCCAAAACATCAACAAATTCTGTATGCTTTTTTGGCAAGGAATGGGATTCAAGTAGGAGAGAGAGAAGCATTAGAGTGGGAAGCTTACAAATGGTACTGGTGACATCTCTGAGATGGAAAAAAATGTTACTTGCTCCCAGTGAGCCTCTGGATTATGAATCTGTAGCCAATCAATGTCCATCCAATAGGAATATGTAAGGAAGTTGTGAAATAGAATGGCAAGAATTCTGTGAAATCAGCCAAGTCTATTATGAGCTGATTGTATTGTACTGTACTGTACTGTATTTCAGAACCTGAGTTCTGAATGAAGAGTAACAGAGATAAGATGAACTTGCCTGTTGCCAGCTGCCTGAGCTCTTCTTAACTGTCTGAGGGCCCCTCTGAGCCATTCTAATCTTTTCCAAGTATTTGCCTTTCTTAAGAGGTAGAGACTTTAATTTGGATCACAGAGTTCAACCCAATGATCAGCACCAAGAATAAACAAACTGAATACCCTTGAGTCACATATAGATCTGAAAGCACCGAATGTGGCCTCTGAGCCACTATAAAATTTGTTGAAATTTTAACTTTTTTAATGTAAGTAAATACTGTTAGCATTTATTAATGTCCAGCCAGCCAAGGAGAAAATAGGGATGATGTTTTTCAAAAGCAAACTGGAGTACCTTTCAAAGAGCCACAAAGTAGTAACGATAGGGAACTTTAATTATCCTGACATCTTTTGAGATACAAAATCTGCAAACTTGGTTCTTTCTGTTTACTTTGAATGACTTTAAATCACCAGGCCACGTGAACTGCACGTTTCTTTCACCAAACAGGAGACTGAATTTGATGTCCCTTCCAACTTTACGATTCTAAGACATTATTCAATACCAAGGAACTATTCATATTAACTATAAATATACTTAAATCAAGTCTGATTTTGATTTAGCCTCTTCCAACTTTTCTGAAATATAGTGCTTGACCTATCACTCAAAAGACACATGCAATAATTGGCATGAAAAAGGTTTATGGGCCCCAACTTAGGCCCAGGAAGTTCAGGATTTTAAAAGGTCAGCATCAGCTTGTATTAGATCTCATACTTTTTCAAGAAGACTTAGTATATGAATCACTCTCCATAGTTATCTATAGACAAAAATACATGTTCTGTTCATATAATTAATATCCACATGCAGATGACTGTTATGTCAAAAAACATCAGATTTCAGAACAAGTCATAATTTAAGCTCCACAATTAACAAGAGTATCAGCAAACAATTTTATATAGGGTGGCTGGTGTGGGTCTTCCGGGCTGTGTGGCTGTGTTCTGGAAGTTTTATTTCCTAATGTTTTGCTAGCACCTGAACTTAACCACCTTAATTGGGTCCTACAAGTGAATGGCTACTCCAAGAATGAAATAAAAAGAGCCATCAAACCAAGAAAACAACATGCGACTGAAGAAGAAAAACCTGCTGGGGGTGATTAGCAAGTTCATTGTGTGAACTGTTCACATGTCCTGGTGGTTGAGCTCCACCAGGACATGTGAACAGCTGCTGGGGGTGATTAGCAAGTTCATTGTGTGAACTGTTCACATGTCCTGGTGGTTGAGCTCCACCAGGACATGTGAACAGCTGCTGGGGGTGATTAGCAAGTTCATTGTGTGAACTGTTCACATGTCCTGGTGGTTGAGCTCCACCAGGACATGTGAACAGCTGCTGGGGGTGATTAGCAAGTTCATTGTGTGAACTGTTCACATGTCCTGGTGGTTGAGCTCCACCAGGACATGTGAACAGCTGCTGGGGGTGATTAGCAAGTTCATTGTGTGAACTGTTCACATGTCCTGGTGGTTGAGCTCCACCAGGACATGTGAACAGCTGCTGGGGGTGATTAGCAAGTTCATTGTGTGAACTGTTCACATGTCCTGGTGGTTGAGCTACTTCCAGAACACAGCCACACAGCCCGGAAGACCCACACCAGCCATCGTATGCCGGCCATGAAAGCCTTCGACAATACAATTTTATATAGGCTTAGAAAACATTACATTTCTCAGGAGAGTTCTCCATCTAAGGGAGAGGAAATTTGCCACTTTATCATTTTTACAAATTGTGTAAGGGTGCTCTTGTGTGAGGAAAAGGCACAAACATGGATACCTGGCATATCAATTTTACTCAGGCCTGTTTAGATATAAATGCCAATAGGCAAATCCATTGAATATTTACACACTGAAATAAGACATGGGTTTGGGGTTACATGCTTCTCTCCTGTTTTTTGTCCTTAAGGCTAGAAATCTCTAAAACTTGATGTTGTAATAGATGGCACACTACTTCAAATTCATTTCCAAAAAGAGGATTCAGAGCACCTAGAGTTGCAAATGTGGTACATGTCTGTAACTCTTTCAAACAGCTGCAGAACTATGTATGGGAATAGGAAAAAATGCAGTTGCGTTAAAGAATAGCAAACAGGTGCTATATTTGTGCCTCCCTTCCACATATATTCCATAATATTTAGTAAAGTATAACTATCAGCTACATTAATCTTGCAAGAGAATAAGTAAGGATTATGTCATCCACAAAAGCTTCATCTTTTTATCTGAGAACAATTTTACTGCACATTGTAGAAATAACTGTTTCTATGATCGCTTACTGTGGCTGTATTAGATACCATGGTAATGCTAAAATCCAAAGCACATTATCCAATCTATTTGACCAACTAATACACATAACACAGAATCATCAACAGAGTTAGATACAGTACCAGATTCTTGCTGTCCTGCTTGTGAATGGTTACAATTCTACTTTCTCCAGAACCTTCTTGGCTTGCTTGCTTAATACTGACATCTATAACATCAGGAAAATCACAGTAGGTTTGTATGTCCTGCAAAAAAAAAAAAAAAAAAAAAGATATTGCTTTGTAAGATAATCATTTTAAGTATTTAAATCAAGATTTAAATCAACTCAAAGGATGCAATCCTAACTTAACGCTTATAGATCTGGCCTGCCAAATATTGTCACATTAGGGGGCCTACTAATAATATATATATGATAGTTTCTGTGGCCATAACTGAGGTCTTTAGGACAGGAGATCACCCCTTCCCCACTTGCTCCCTCATAACTTCTGCAGTTATGAGCAGACTGTAGCAAGAGGGATTGGAACACCTCAGACAGCAATACGACCAAAACAATTTAATAAATATTTGGAAAGATTTCCAAAGCTCAACAATAGAAGGCATCCATCTGCCTGCGTTGCCAATGTTCTGAATAAACTGTTGAAAGATTACTCCACCCTCAAGCAACAACTGCAAATTGTGGTGAAACAAAGCTGGATTGCAGCTTTATTTCTAAACATTTCTATTTTGTAGTTATATAAAGAAAACCTTATGAAATACAAAGTATTAGTATTATTGTTAAGAGAGATAAAATCAAAGGAAAATTTAAATACCGATACCACAGTGAGAAGTTGAAAATGCTGTTTTCTGTTTTACAATAATTTCTATTGCTAAACCAGTTTTTTCTTCAGTAATAATACTAGTAACCTTAAGTAGTCCAGGTTTGCAATCCTTCTGGTTCTAAGCACAAATTAAGAGGAATTACATGTGCATTAGTGTGCATAGACCTATATGAATATTAAGAAGACACATAAAGCTGGAATTCCACAGGATTAACCAAGTTCCTGCACCACTGAGATTGCAGAAGAGAACTAGGTGCCCACCAAGATTTATAAAACCTTGAACCTCCCATCCTGTCCATTAATTGTCTTCTGAGGACTTTTTCCTAAACTGCATAATTGGTGAGAGCTAGTTTCTTAATCACCATACAGCGTTGTTTCTAATTAGTTACTGTACATTGTAGTGGCAAGGTGAAATCATCCTGGCATCCAGTGACATTTTAGTAGGTTCTACTGAAATAAGCATGAAAGAGTATGATCAAATATTACCTCTTCCGCAAGCGTTTCACTGACTTTTTGTTTTCCTCTGGAACACTGTATACCACCATTCCCACTTATTATAATGGTTGCAAAAGACTCTGCATCTGAAGATTCTCTTCCAGGATCCTTTACTTCAAACACTTCTGAGTAAAAGGCAGACTGGAGGGTTTCCAAATTAATGAGATACTTCAGTTTCAGATTTCTGGCCGTTGCTTTGCATTGGCTGAACTGCTGAATAAATTTCCGGAATCTGTATCTTATTCTTTTTCGTGTCAAAATGTGATAATCTTGGATTTTTTCTCTGATACATTTTGGCAAAAACATTTTGTAGCTGTGAATACAAGAGCTACCAAATGAGTAACAAACATCACTAAGAGCAATTCAAAGTCAGTTATTTTTCTATAGAGCAAACCTAAAACCATTTTCCTTAGAATCATCAGAAAAAATCAAGAAGCTAATGCAGTTATGAATCAGCATTTGTATCACCAAACTTTCTATCTACAGCAACCAAAACTAAGGACTTAAGGAAAGGAAGAGATATTGTATTGTATTGTATTGTATTGTATTGTATTGTATTGTATTGAACTATAGATAAAAAAACAACTAAAGACGTTTATATTTGGCCGCATAATGCCCTCCAATGAAATGAAGCACACTGCAGCTCCTCTGAATCTGTCAGTATCTGTTATCTTGCAATCCAATATAGTGTAATGGATAATATGTACATCTTAGGACTGTGGAGAAGAAACTGCTGGCATACCATAGGCCAGTCATATCTTTCAAAGTTGTGCATACTGTACTGACAGCTTTGGGGAAAAGTAGAGTAGTGTGTGCGTGTGTGTGTGTTTCAAAATTGGTTTAAATTTTAATTTTCAATATGTGAACAAAATGGAGTCCCCCCCCACCTCTTTCCTTTTGCATTTTTTTGTCTGAGAATCAAAGGACCCTCTGAAACAGATGATTGTGCAATCCCTTTGGGATAGGGGGTGCAAAAGGAAGAAAGAACTAACATTTCTGCTTGCACAAGTACAGTTTTGGGCTTCTGCCCAACAGATCTGAAAACCTCAACTACCGGTTGTGAAAAACAGTTAATATATTCAGAAGCAGCTATTGTTCTAAACCTAATGAATGCCTAACCTATGCAGTCTCAGACAACTGTTTTTGTTAAAGAAAGTAGAAAATCATAACAGAAAGGGAACAAAAGTGAACTGCCCTTTATACAACTCTGTCTTTCTCATCATCTCTTTGCTTTACCCTCATCTCTAGTAGAGGTATTAGCTTCCTCCACCTAATATCAATACTTAAATATGAATTGCAGTGTTCTATCTAGATTGCATATATTAGAAAAATGTTGCCCTCAGAGAATTTTTTTTACATATACTACACATGTGTTTGATGTGCCATTTCAAGAAATAATTACCTTACAGAATTGTAAATGGCTAATGGAGTTTGGTCCTTTTCTTTGGCCATTCTCATCATATCAAGGACAGCCATTCCAAGACATTCTTCCTGTGTTTCATGAGTAACAGCCATCTTTACCCACCCATGGACAAAATCTTCTCGCCACTGAATCAAAAAGAAGAGTGAGAACTCAGGATGAGCATTTCACTGTGGGTTGTTTATTTTTACTATAACTTGAAAAATCTTCCATAAGAATCAGTCCAAAGCATACAGTTCAGTAGTGTTTTGATGCTGCTCCCAGTTTTCTTATGTCTGAAGAGTATAACTCCCAATCTTGTTATACTGAAGAGTATAATACTTCAAGTATTTTTAGAAAGCGATATAAACATAATCAATCTATGGAATTATCCATGCCTGAAGGATGCCATTCACATGTAAAATAAAGGGGGGAGGACACAGAAGTAAATACCTACAGTCCCATATAATGAGTTAGCCATTTTTACCTGAGCAAATAGGTAAGACATAACAATATCATCAAGGACAGGACTCTCTGCACCTCGAGAAACGCCATATCGGTACGCTCGTATATTGCTGCTGCAATACCAATGTGGGAAATAAAATCTGTATGGAAACAGTTTGTCACATATTAAAGTTTTTACTGCCAAATTTTCACAGAATAGAACCACTATGTTACTAAAATTAATATGAGGTAAAATTAGGGTTTTGAGTATGTGTGTTGTTCTGTCAGTCAATTAAAATGGTTTTATTTTTTAAATTGTTACCTTTACCTTTTAGAAAGTAGACTTCATAAATTAGGCTGCTACAAAACTCAAGGGAAGATCATTCACACAACAATTTTAGTGTAATTTGTTTTTCATTAAACCAAGCAATAATACATGCCAAATTAGTTTTCAATCTGAAATAAGATGCCTATCTTCACTTAAATTGACATTTAGCTAGTAAACTTAGTCAATTGACAAATAATTATCAATGAAGTCATTCAAATAAGGACTGTGCTAATTAATGCGGGAAAAAATCTCATCCAGAGTGCAACCTCTCTGTAAAGAATTGAAATTATTATGCTAGATTTTTTCCTCAGCAAATGTAGCGAACTTTGAGGAACAGACTTCTGAAACAGCCACTGTAATCACTGAAGATGTTATTTTCTCAACGTTTTCCCTAAGCCCCACATTAAAAGAAAAAAGAAAAAAAGCTCTGTATTCCTGTTTAATTAAGCTTCTGGTATAGAAGAAAGTAAGAACATCTAAGAATATGGCTTGTGAGAAGAGAAGGCAGAAGTAGTTCTCTAGAAAAAGATATTGAACATGGTACAACTGCTGATGTATATCAATGTACATTCTAGATTCCCACAGGGCTGGAGAAAAAAGCTTCCTCACTACTGCCAGTGCTCTCAGCTTACATTATGAAGCTGTGAAGAAAAGGTAGACTGGCTTCCACATAAGCTATCTGATAAGAAATGAAATAATATGATTTATGTGTGTGATCCAAGACCAATCATCATGTGGGCACTGATCTTTGTGATGTGGGTCTGTCCAATAAAAAATCTTCTAGACTGATGCAACTACTTACATTAACTCACAATTATTTTTCAGATATGGATGTATCTGCAGAGTGGCTCTTCAGTCCACACTTTGCTTGCTCAGAGGCTAGTTGTATAATGATGAAAATCCTAATATATTAAAGAACTGCCCTGTTTGGCAACGCACAAGTAAATGATGTGTCAGGGGAAAAAAATGGACATTTTTCTCATGTTCTATATTTCATACTTTTTCTACCACAGCTTGAATTACATTTTGGTATAATTCAATGTTCTAGACCAGTGTTCCTTAAACCGTGGTCCTAGGACTCCTGAGGGTCCCCCAAGACCCTCTCAGAGGTCCTCGAAATCAAAATTATTTCCTAGCCTTGGTTGAAAAATATTACAACAGTAAAATCCCATCAAACAATTGTGAGAAGCGGTAGTGGCAGTGAATGCATCAATTTTAATTTTTAATACAATAAATATAATTCACACAAAGACAGACTATTTTGGGGTCCTCCATAATTTTTAAAAATGAGAAGGGATCCTGAGAGAAAAAAGTTTAAGAAGCATTGTTCTAGACACATCACATATTATTTTTCTTTTTCCTTTCTCATCTCTTTGGAGTGTTTTGGTTTCACTCAATGACATATATAACCATTAAGCCCCACTGCTGTTTAATGCCAAACCTTAATAGGCAGTACCAAATATCCCAGCCCTAATTTTCACACACATAAATTCAAGTTTTGCTTTGATATGAGGCATCTTGGTCTCAACTGGGGAGGAAATTCACCCTCCCCAACTGCTGACTTAATCAGGAGATACAAGAAGCTGCTATAGTCAAACAGAAATAGCAGTTCAGTTGTTAAGACTGCCTGTAGCTACAGGTAGTTCTCGCTTACTGATTGTAATGGGAACCAGCAACTCCATTGCTAAACAACATGGTTGTAAGGTATGATGTCACATGACCCACCAACTTACAACAGCATTTCCAGCAGTCCCAATTGCTGCTGTTAGGCAAATCCCACATAGTCACAGAATCCGTTACCTGATCATCATTTGTGACTTCCTTCCGGCTTCCCCATTGACTTTGCTTGTCGGAAGCTGGCAGTGAAGGTCACAAATGGCAGTCATGTGACTATGAGATGCTGCACAATCTCACCCAAAACAGCATCCCATGTCATACAGTGGGGCAAAAAAGTATTTAGTCAGCCACCAATTGTGCAAGTTCTCCCACTTAAAAAGATGAGAGAGGCCTGTAATTTTCATCATAGGTATACCTCAACTATGAGAGACAAAATGAGAAAAAAAATAGTCATCCTGGTCCCTTTGCAGAAAAACAGCCCCAAAGCATGATCTTTCCACCCCCATGCCTTGGCCATAGTGGAGTTTGGAGTGTGACTGTTTGAGGTTGTGGACAGGTGTCTTTTATACTGATAACAAGGTCAAACAGGTAGTCATCCTGGTCCCTTTGCAGAAAAACAGCCCCAAAGCATGATCTTTCCACCCCCATGCCTTGGCCATAGTGGAGTTTGGAGTGTGACTGTTTGAGGTTGTGGACAGGTGTCTTTTATACTGATAACAAGGTCAAACAGGTAGTCATCCTGGTCCCTTTGCAGAAAAACAGCCCCAAAGCATGATCTTTCCACCCCCATGCCTTGGCCATAGTGGAGTTTGGAGTGTGACTGTTTGAGGTTGTGGACAGGTGTCTTTTATACTGATAACAAGGTCAAACAGGTAGTCATCCTGGTCCCTTTGCAGAAAAACAGCCCCAAAGCATGATCTTTCCACCCCCATGCCTTGGCCATAGTGGAGTTTGGAGTGTGACTGTTTGAGGTTGTGGACAGGTGTCTTTTATACTGATAACAAGGTCAAACAGGTAGTCATCCTGGTCCCTTTGCAGAAAAACAGCCCCAAAGCATGATCTTTCCACCCCCATGCCTTGGCCATAGTGGAGTTTGGAGTGTGACTGTTTGAGGTTGTGGACAGGTGTCTTTTATACTGATAACAAGGTCAAACAGGTAGTCATCCTGGTCCCTTTGCAGAAAAACAGCCCCAAAGCATGATCTTTCCACCCCCATGCCTTGGCCATAGTGGAGTTTGGAGTGTGACTGTTTGAGGTTGTGGACAGGTGTCTTTTATACTGATAACAAGGTCAAACAGGTAGTCATCCTGGTCCCTTTGCAGAAAAACAGCCCCAAAGCATGATCTTTCCACCCCCATGCGATTTTTTTTCTCATTTTGTCTCTCATAGTTGAGGTATACCTATGATGAAAATTACAGGCCTCTCTCATCTTTTTAAGTGGGAGAACTTGCACAATTGGTGGCTGACTAAATACTTTTTTGCCCCACTGTAACTGTGAGCCAGTCCCCAAGCGCCCGAATCACAATCACATGATCATGGGGATACTGTGACAGCTGCATCTATGAAGACCCGTCCTAAGTACCCCTCGCTCAGCACCACTGTAACTTTGTTTCACAACAAACGAGGACTACCTGTATGCTCTTTTTATTGCCCAGGTGAGTCTAGAGCCATGTAAGGAACCAGAAAATATTATTAGCCCATGAGGCATGCATGCTGCAGGTACTTAAAGAAGGGAGCTCAATTGCAGAAGGAACTCTGAGGCTCCAGGGCAGAGGCAGAGGAGGGTGACATAAGTATATCCAAACATTTTATTCCTGAATAAAAAGGACCATAAAGGTAGCAAGTGGGATCCTCCTATGACCTTCAACTAAACAAGATGCATGCACCAAGCCCTTATCCTGACACACGTGTATTGGTATGCTTAACCCAACTCCTAAAATATTTCAAGTTGGGTGAAATTAAGTTCCCAGGGTTTTACAGAATCTTAATCAGCCATGATGCCATAAAATCTGAGTGCTTCTGTTGCTCAGAATAGTCAGCAAAGGACTAAAAAGAATGCTGATCTTTCTTTTTATGAAATACTCTTATTTATGCCCATATATTAAAAACTCAGATTAAAGAAACCATTAACTGACAGTGTGATACTCTGATTAAAGTTCCTTCTTTCCACATGACTGAAAAAGCCCTTTAAGGTAACATGAATGAAATAAAATGCTGAATCAAACTTCCCCAGAAATATTAGGATTCTTGTTTTCAGGAATAAAACACTGCAATCTCACCCAAAACAATGTCCCATTTACTTCCAATTAAAACTGCAATTAGAATTACCTTATTCGGTAGAGTACAGTGACAGTAGCTGTTCCATCTATTTGGAAGGTGTAATTTGGAGGATACCAACATCGGTCAATCTCATTCATTAGTGCAAACATGTTGTGGTACACAGGCAAGATCCCTGGTAAGGCAAAAGAGAAAGAAAGGCCTCAGTATTTAACAATGGTAATTGGGACCAGTGGTAAAGCACGATGTCAAATGACTGCTCTGCTTAGCGACAGAAATTCTGGCACTTCTGGTTGCTGTTGTTAAGCAAATCACTGCAGGTTGTTACGCAAGGATGGCACGTGGTCGCCATTTGTAACCTCCTACCAGCTTCCCCATTGACTTGCTTGTAGAAAGCTGGCAAAGAAGGTCGCAAATGGTGATCACGTGACCATGGGGACTGTGCAACTGATGTAAGTATGAGGACCAGTCATAAGTACCACTTGTTCAGCGCCGTCGTAAGTTTGAATGGTTGCTGAACAAGTGGTCGTTAAGTAAGGACCACCTGTAAAATCTTTATTACACAGAACTTGCTACTAAGAGATGCTTAACTGGCAGCACCCACAAGGTTTCATGCCTTCTTTGGATTTTAAATCTCAAAAAGACTATCAAGAAAAAAATTAAAAAGCTAATACCGAGATAAAAAGCATTATATTTCAGTAATTCTTTTCAGCAATGTTTAAATAATGTTATACAAACACAATAGATATAAACAAACGCTATAGAGAAAGGGTTGGAGCAGGCTTTCCCTTCAGCAGAAGTTACTATATAACCCCCTTCACCACTGGGTTTGATTTCACAAGTTAAATATATATTCACATGCTAAAAATAGACAAGATAAAATAAATGGAAACTGTTGTGGTGTCTCTCTGCAAAGTAGATGCTCTTTGGCCCAATAGATACTCATCTCAACAGAATGGGAATTGATTTTCAGTAATTTTACAGTCAAGAAATGCACATGCATGCACATACATACACACAGAATCATGCCACTCCAATCTGTTTCAGAAAGTTGGGGAATCCTTGTAACAGCATGGGACAGTTCAGAGCGAGCAAGAAAATTACAAAACTGATCTTCCTCCTTGTACTAGCAAGTTTTAGTATATATAATTGGAGAACAAATTGTTTTTAAAAAATTCAACATTTTTACTTGTGAATATATAGTGCATTGTTTTGAATGGCTTTATTTCTTTAAACCCAATTGCTCAAATTATTATCAATGGCAAATAAACACCTTGAAAATTAAAGACCCTTTTTAGAAAGAAGATATGAATTTATACAGTCACATTAGAATTGCTTCTACTTTTTATTTTGCACCTGCAAGATTTTCCCCTCAAAAACCTATCATTGTGAAAAACACAAAAGAATAAACTAGACTGATCTTCTCTTTATTTATAATTTATTTATCATATTTATATAGCCGCCCATCTCACACAAGGTGACTCTGGGCGGCATACAACAATTAAATAATAATAAATACATAAAAACAATTACACATAAAAAACTGTAAAAACACACAAAACAGGAGGAGATAAAATTAATAAGGGAGCCATCGCAAAATCTCCCTGGTCCCCTGGGAGCCCCAGGCCTGATCACATAGCCAGATCTTGAGGGATTTACGGAATGTTAAGAGGGATGAAGCTAATTGCACTTCTGGGGGGAGAAGTTTCCACAAGGCGGGCACCACAGCAGAGAAGGCCCGCCTCCTGGGAACCACCAAATATAATTCTCTAGCAGATGGGATAGACAGCATGCTTTCTCTGCCAGATCCGATGGGATGGGCAGATGCAATCGGGGAGAGGCGGTCCCTCAGGTAACCTGGCCCCATGCCACGAAGAGCTTTAAAGGTCAAAACTAGCACCTTGAATTGGACCCGGAAGCAAACTGGCAACCAGTGCAGCTCGTGAAGCAGAGGTGTAACGTGTACTGTCCTAGGGGCACACATAACTGGCCACACTTCTGTAAACCACAGAGAGTGCTGGGATCCCCGAGAGGAGAGAGGTCGCATGGGCGCGATCTGATCCAAACCCTCAGCCACCCCTTTATTCCAAGCAGCTACTAAGGTTTCAGATGGACCGTGCAGCAGACCAACAGGAACAACCCCAAGCAACCTCTGGAACCCATCTGGGTCCATCAGTCGCCGGGGCGGACCAATCTAATAGGTCCAGCCTCCCTGCAGTGGATAGTGGTGCTAGGGAATCCCACTGTAATCAGGGCGTGATCTGACCATGACAAGTGGGACACCAAGATCTCCAATTTCAGACCACATAGCCACTGCTCCGACAGGAACATCAGATCCGGTGTACGACCACTGTTCTGTGTTAGGCTCTGGATGATTTGGGATAGGCCCATGGCTGCCATGGTGGCCATGAATTCCCAAGCACCCTCAGATCCCATCCCTAGAGAAGGCAAATTGAAGTCCCCCAAGACCATAAGCTTGGGGAACTCCACTGCCAACCCAAGAAGGGTGTCAAGGAGCTCAGGTAGGGAAGTTGCTGTGCAGCAGGGAGGCCGGTACAACAGCAGCAATCCCAACTGATCCCTAGAGCCCAACTTGATGAACAGGGTCTCACATCCGGTGACCTGCGGTATAGCACCCCTGAAGGCTGTTAAGAGATTTCCGGATGACAATTGCCACACCTCCACCCCTACCTGGACTCTCAGCTGATGCCACACTCAAAACCCAGCTGGGCATAATGCTGTGAGGGCTACCCCCCCTGAATCCAGCCAAGTCTCAGTGATGCATGCCAGGTCACCCTTCTCATCCGTGATTAAATCACTGATGAGGGATGCCTTATTACAGACTGACCTGGCATTTAGAAGCAGCAGCCAGAGACCAGAGCCTCTAAAGGTCTGCTCACAGGGTACCAGGGCTGAGACTGAGGAACTGGAACACAAAACCAGCAACAAACAACGGTCCTGCGGTCCCCGGGAATGGCCTGCTCCCCGTCTCCCACCATATTTCCCCATGCCCATCACAATATTTTGGCCTACCCCCATCCCCCCAACAGCAGCCCCATCCCTGTATCAACACCCCTCAATTCCCAAAACTGGGGAGCATTCGCTGTCCTTACCAGCCATACCTGGGAAGGGAACTGGGCACCCTGAGGCTCTTTAGCTTACTAGCTGTCAGAGCCATCAAAGCCCAGCAACCACCTCCCCCACTTCATTCCCACAGCCTCACACACATACATACAAAGGGGTCCCTCCCTTGCTGCTCCTACCAGCAGGCAGTGGGCACCCTACCCATTCACCCTTCATCAATTTCCTCCTCTGACTCTCACCCAGAGAAAGGATCAACACATTCAAACCCACTCACACTCACACACACCCCACTCAGCATCCAGGACCTCCTACCCTACTGCTCCCACCAGCTGGCAGAGGCTCCAACCATGCACCCT